CATAGCCGGGTCGGCGGCGTCTATATTAGACAAGAGTAGATAAACCGGGGTACTAGTAAAGTAGGGAGAGCTAGGGAGTATAGTCTTTTTTATATAGATTAGTAGTTATTATAGTAACAGCCTATATTCTATTCTTTATTCTATACCTACTAGCCTACTTGTTCTATACCCTCCCGAGACACAACAAAAGTACATTATAGAATATATTATTATATTTGCTACTACTACAATACTAGTCCTTAAATCTGTAGTACGGGCGGTTACAATAGTCTAATTGACCAAAACATATATTTGGGGGTTACCATAGCACATAGCGATTTCAGGTCGAGGGCGCCAGTTTCGCGGGACCAGTTGGAGTTTATCTCCAATCGAGGGAATGGACCATGAGAGACAGAGCTCTCATCTCGTCAAAGATGTAGCGGATTCAAGTTCACAGGCCAGCTCCATTCCATCAGTTGATAATATGGAAACGGCTCCTTTTTTGTCAAGCAAGCCCCAGTAGCCACCTCATACCACTTCATAGATTGTAAGTGATTTATCCAAGAGAATGAAACGCGAAAGGAGAAAAAGTGCTATGAACTTATTCTATCTTAAATACCTCCTGTAAGCATGGTTAAAATCCTTCTCAATATTATATTCAGGGGTGTCGACCGTGAAAGACGGACTAGATTCCCTTCGTAGTATATTAGATACAGCGTCGATGGAAATTTGATTCCCAACGCAGCTTTCCTGAGGCTACAGATCTCATCGATCACCAACCAACTCTATGATATAACCATATATTTCTTGTTAGTTGCGCGAAATTGGCGCGTGTAGAGTAGTCAGCCGAAATCAGCTAGCTAGCAATCACTCGATCGAGATAGTTTCAAGACACATTGCCATATCTTCCAAGTCCTCTCAAATCACCTACCTTTACATGATGCAAATTTGGGATTCAAGGCCATAGAGAATGTAGGCTTATACTTCAGAGCGCAGAAATTCGATTTTGGCTGACCGTGGGGATTCGCACCTCATGACTATTCCTGCTTTCTTGAGCTTAGGGAGTAAGTCTCTGAGAAACTACTTCTTCAGGGCTGTACAGGCCCATGCTCGCTTTTCTCAGGAACGTGTCTCAATATGTTGAGATGGTATGTTCGTGGCATGTTTCTGAACTCCAAATACAGACAGATCTCTCCACTGGAAGAATAATCTCCTTGCGACATCTTTTGACTGGGGTGTTAGCCCACCCCTTTCAGCTGCAGCATCATTCCCTGGATGACATCTTCCTATTCAGGCCATTCCTGTGAAGTCATGGGGTCTATCGCTTAGGTTTTAGAAGGGCTTGGTGGTCATTTGCAAAGTCTAATGTCTTCATCTGCAGTCTGGAAGTACCAGGAAGGCCTGTAGGAGGTGCTCTGAGAGCTGGGTTCTCTTATCATTTCTATTTTGAAACTGATATCCTGGGATAATTGTGGGATAATAAGGTCCCAAGGTGCGAGTACTAGAAGTTGATGAGTCCAATCACTCGCTATCCAGTTTGAGCTTATTGTGTGAGGTGTAATAAAAATGTAAGTCATTCAGAAAGTGCCCTCTCCGACAAAAGTGAGCCGGGGGCGTTTGGCTGAGAGCTTCTCAAAACGCGAGCCACATTTAGCTGGCACCTGCTGAGCGAAAAAGACATTAAGGAAGGTGTACAGTATACAAGCACAAGCTGAGTTCACCTCGTTCTTCAAAACGATCCCAACCCAATCCTGCTATTGAGTTCAGAAAGGAACTATAAAGTCTATAGTCATCATCACAAGAAAGTCAGCAAGAGAATTCGAGAGACAAATATAAAACCCGAGTGTATCATGTATTCCTTATGTCATTTACTAAGAAGAGGTGGAGTAAATAAATTATTGTCACCAACCTCAAACAACACTCCGCCAACTCAAGAATGCCTGAGAAGCGGACCTTTGAAACATTCAAAAGTATGTTTTTATACTCATTCGACGCATGGGATCGCACACTTACTAACTTCTGTGGGACTGTTGACGGAACAGCACCAAGCCACCTAGGATCTATCTTTCTATGAAAGATTAGAAGGCAGTTTGAGTTCGATAACTCATGTCAATTTCAAAGGCTCCTAGTGAGATGAATGACTACAAATATTGCAAAAAAGATCCGAACTTTTGACTCATTTCGACAACAAAGGCTTTTTCGACAGCAAATATGTTTACAAGAATATCACTCAGACGATTATTCGAGGGCTACGCATATGCCTCTCTTGCACCATAACCCTCTACGGTCCTTTAAAATTGGCAGTTCATTGCCGCCGACTCGTAGTTCTATCAAAACCTTCAATGTGCCACTTTGGTCTTGTTCTTCCATGACGAAAAATTGGTCAAACCAATCTTTCTTTTCCAAGTGATAGAGCTTCTGCCATGCACTACCAGACTCGTCAAGCACGGTGTTCTTAGTAGCGCCACCGTGGCAGTATTGGGAGAAGTAGAGAAGTATAATATCCTGGCTCTTGTTGTCGCTGGTCGTCTATATCAATTGCAATTGTTACTTCTTCTTGATTTGAAACAACCACAAAGAACTTCGACCTATGACTTGCTTCTCCCGCCAATTGGGGGCACCCCCCAAACAGCAAGAGAACATAATTGCTCCCTTTAGAGAGCACCCAGGACACAAAAACCAGAGGCTGAACTTTGGGTTCAGTAATTGTAGTTTTGGGCTTATTCATATGCTAAAATTATAGTGACTACTATTAACCTTTTCTAGACTTTAGTATAGTATATAGCCTCGAACATTAGAGTTCGGCTATACAACAAGGTCAATTCCAGTAACACTTCTGGTAAATCTTTCTATCGCATACTGAGTTCCAACGAGCGTGTTGATGACACGAACTTCACGCGTGGTTTGCTGCTCTTATATAAAGGCAGTATCGAACGAATTATAGACGCAGGAGAAATACGTTCTTCAGTTACTCAACACGTTCTCGTCAGGCAAAGGCCTGTAGTAGCTGCCCAATGTGGATCAATGCAAGGTATCAAAAGGTGACTTTTGCAGGTAAGTGACCTGCTGCCCAGGCAGGTAGATCCAAGAATCAATTTTCGAAATCTGAAAGTTAAATGCTTCTCGTAAGCAGAAAGATTTTCGACAGTGAATATTCACAAGAGAATCATGAGTTTGTTCCGCCTTACCCTCTGCCACTCTCAACAGCACGGGTTCTGTTTGAAATATTCGGTCCGCTTCAAGAGAGGAGGCTGTCTCTTCTGTCTGAGTGCTCTTCACACGCTGCTCCCAGCTCTCCTGATGTTGACTTGGCGCGATGTTTGTATCCTTATGGGGACTTCAATGTCGGTTTGCGCTTCATTTATCGCTCGTTGACTTCAACGCCAGCGTCAACTATATGATATGTCTTTTGGGTATTCCCATAAAGTGTTAGATGAAAATCATTTGAACTCATGACATCCTGCACCTCAAGAACGCGAAAATGCAAGCTATGTCTGTATACGATGAAGAGCCCAGTATTCAACGGGACAACGACCTGGCCATATACTTCTCAAAGAGCTGAAATCCATACTCTATGTTAAAAAGTAGTAGATACTCATAGACGCGCAGAGGAGATGTTTTAATAAACTTGGTGAACATAACCTGCACCCCATCACTTGGGCAAATGCCTTAAGCCCAGCAAAATCTTATCAATTATCCACGCTTCGAACCAAAAACTCACTTCAACCCCACCAGAATCAAAATCAGAAAGCCTATCAACTCCCTCCAGAGGCAAGACATGAAGTAAACGGAGGACTATTCTTTTTTCATAACGTTTCTTTTGACTACGATGACCTCGTTGACCACTCAGAAATGACCAGATATCTGGACTGGCTCTACATACAAACACTACACTACCTAATACCAAGACCATAAAAAGAACAAGGAATCTCCAATCCGAACGTTCCCCATTTTTCAATAGCATCTTCATGTTCGACAGCAAATACACAATTAAATGAAGTTAATTCGGATTATCCGTATTCTCGTAGCCACACAATACACCCAAGCCGAGGACCCCATGAACGGCCATTCGCAGGCTTCCTGGCATATCTAATAGTTTAAGTGGGGTAAACGTGGTCAATCTATCAGCTGCCGCCTTCGTCATCATGAACGATCCATTTTTTGTCTCCCTGATTCTTTTCTATGGGTCGAGTCGCTTCTTATTTAAGCATCGTACAGATTCCAGATTGACTGCTCAGGTGAAATTGGTTGGCACATAGCATTCTCTAGCACCTCACTGTAATCAGTCATGGCTTACGTGACGAAGGAGGGCTAGCGCTTGTCTCTAACAGTCTTCAAATTAAGCACCCTTGATAACCTAGGGCACGCGTAATCCCATTAGAGTTGACAGGAATAGCGAACAGGCAAGGAGACGCGGTGAGAGAACAAGGTATTGAAAGCAAGATGGCCTACCGCAGTATACGAAAGGACTCTGCGCTGTGCAAAGCTTATCTGATACATTTTTCACTAAGCTACTCGAGTAAGAAAACTGGTGATTACTCTGTACACACTATCAAAAGTCATTATGCCAAAAGTCTAGTACAACTTAGTTAATTATACTATTTTACCTAGGTTAATAAGGAGTGAAAAGTATCGATTATTCTAAACCATGCGTATAACTGATTTACTTGTATAACGTCTTTAGGATAATATTTTATGACTCAGGGGTGTACAGAGTAATGCCCGCCTCTCTTATTTCCTCCCGAACGTTTTAATTTAACTTAGATGCCCTGCCCTGTGGAAATATGTTGTCTGGGGGCATAGATTTACAAGGAGTATGAACACCTCTACATTTCGGCTTTAATCGCAAAGAATCGGTTCTACTAATCTGAGGACCCAAATGAATAAATCAATTAGATTGCATATCTATTAGTCTACAAGTGTGGGAATAGTTGTGGGAGGTGAAAGGTGAAAGCCCTTGAGATCGCATTTACTACTACCTTCAAGATAGCATACATTACAAGTCAAATTTCACTCGTACGCACGAATCACATTTACGATATAGATCACAAAACAAAGCGCGAGTATGCTGGAAGACTTTCAATTTGCTGACAGTATCTCTTTTCTACTATTTAGGTCGTCTGCGCTGCCTCCTTACAACACGCCCGATTTTCCGTAAGCATCCACCCATTGTGCATTCATGTCAGCGAAAGCCTATGCTTCCTCATTAATCATTCTCCGCCTCCCAGCATCGCATTCCCAAGGAAAGAAATATAGAGTTTCGCGTGACTGAACCAACTTCTCAAGCAGGCACACACCTTATGACGACGAAAAGAGTTCAAGTGGATTGTGCTTTTAAAACCCCAAAGACCAGATACGAGAACAAGAAGAGAAACAAAGAACAGCACCATCTAGTTGGCCATATAGGTGGTAGAGTCAATGCCTCCCTCTGGGTATTCACTGTTGCAAAGTCAGTTACAAATACAGGAAATAACAACGATGGGATGATAACTTACGGAACCTGGGCTTCGAAGCGCTTCTCAATTTGCTTTAGAACATCTTGGTCAGCTTCGCTGCTCACGAATGAGATCGAAACACCCTTGGTTCCGAAACGTCCAGCACGACCGACACGATGGAGGTATGAGTCTGCGTCGGCTGGAAGATCGTAGTTGATCGCCAGGTTGATACGCTCAATATCGATACCACGACCAAAAACGTCAGTGGCTACGCAAATACGCTTGTTGAACTCCTTGAATTCAGTGTAGCGCTTAATACTGCAGGCAGGATTAGTCTGAGTTGCGTTTGAGTGAGAGATTGTGTACGTACCGTTCTTCCTGGCTGACACCGGAGTGCACTGCGATGGATGGGAAATTACATTCACGGAGAAGCTTGTCCAATTCGGTTGCTCTGAGAGTGCTCTTGACGAAAATAATGACCTGATTGAACTGCAACTCGTCAAGTAACTCGTTGAGCTTTCTGTTCTTCTCCTTCTCGTCAAGCTTGATGTAGTACTGTGCAAGACCGTGAAGAGTAAGTTTTGTGTCATCATCAACATAGATTTCCATAGGATTTTGCATGAATTTCTTGCAAATTGGTCGGACTTCCTGTGACAATGTCGCGCTGAACATCATGACTTGCTTTTGGGTTGGGGTGGCTCTGAAAATTTCCTGAACATCGCGTCGCATGTCTATAACCAAGTTAATACAATATCTCAGAAAAAGTGGCTCAAGTGCCATGCTTACCAATCTGTTCCAACATCTTGTCGCATTCATCGAGAACGAAAACCTTGCAGCTTCCGAGTCGCAAATGTTTGTCACGGACAAGAGCGTTCAATCGACCTGGTGTAGCGACGATGATGTGTGGGTGTGTCTCCTTGTTCTTGAGAATCTCGGCATCCTTTTGGATTGGAGTTCCTCCGTAGAACACGCCGGTCTTGACGTCGGGAAGGTACTTGCTGAAACGCGCATACTCGTTCTTAATTTGGTATGCAAGTTCGCGAGTGTGGCACATAACCAATACAGAGGTCTCGCCAGGGACTGGGTCAACTTGTTGGAGAGTGGTGAGGACAAAGACAGCCGTCTTACCAAGACCAGATTTGGCTTGGCAAAGAACATCGGTTCCAAGCATGGCTTGAGGAATAGCATTTTGCTGGACTGTAGGGTAAATCGAGTCGAAGTTAGATTAAAGTTCTCCAAGAAGGTAACGTTGGGCAAGGGTTCGTCCGTCCATCTTCGCATGATAAGATCGCTTCAACTACAACAGCTTCCAAGTAAATAATCGAGTAGGGATGTGACTTCAGCCTTTAAAAGCTTCCATCGGCAACCGAAACGTATAGATAACATTCTTTAACCGCAAAACGCAAACCGATCCTGGAGTCTCTTGGTACCACCATTAATGTTGTGCTTCTTGCGCATCTTCAACACATTCACCCTGCCACGCGATTGCTTTTCTTGAGACTCTGGCTTTCGCGCAGTTCTCTATCCCCTCCACCGTTGGGAATTGCAATTCTACCCAAGAGACATCCAGGATCGATCATAATATGTTGGGAACCAGAGTATATGCTTCTTTTTCTTCTTGCTTTGCGAGATGGACGGACGCGGAAGGACATGGAGCTTGGGGATGAAATTTTATGACTGACCCTCCGAAGGATGTTCGAACCCGCAATCGGTGATGGCTCGTAGAAGCTCTGGCTTCAAAAGAAAGTCGCGGAAACCGGTCGCATGGATACCAACGTAACTGCCCTTCTTGTCGGCATTGTCTTCAGCGGTAAGGCCTCCCTTCTTTGCTGCGCCATTTGTGTCTCCACCAGCCGCGGCATCAGTGGTTTGAAGTTCCTCATCAGAGTAATCGATGAGATCTTCTTCGGCAGACATGTTGATGGTTGTAAGGGGAATTCGTTCAAAAGATTCGTGTTGCGATGCTGAGGTTCAGAAGTGAATCGGTTTCCAAGTTGGTTCGAGTTCGCAAGTCGTGAAAATCAGCAACGGTCGGGTAGCGCTGTATGAGATTGTGGTTTTAAAAGAGTAGAGTAGATGGTGTAGATCTGGAACTTGAGGCTCGCGATCAAAGGTGAGATTGAGGTTGATGGAAGAAGGTGGGTAGAGGTCCAAAGTTTCGAGCCTCAAGGGAGATATTTGACTCCTGCCTTGTTGTGGTCTGTGCTTACCATGCCTGAGGCTTAGGACACCTGATTGAGGCGCAGCTCCTAGCTCCGCCGTCGGGCCGTGAAATGGACCTGGCTACATTCCCCTGACACTACCTAATTAGGCCTAGGGCAGATCATTTCTCTACCCCGCGTCCAGGGTCCACGAAATTTAGAGCTCCCCATTGCTCCAAGGTGCTGTGACGATTCCAACAACAGCTGCCACTCACTCAATGCCTGATCGAGAAAATCCATAGCATCTGTAACGACCATGGCAAAAACAAAAGCGGTGGTAGTTCCCAACAAAGTGCTTCATATCAGAGCTTCGTACCTCTACCAGGCAGCGTCATACCTCGCATCGCAACATCTCGGACCAGATGTCCAGAATGACCAAGCTACCCACAAAGATGGGTCGAAATCGACCAGCGAGAATGTGTGCCATACAGCATCAATCCGTCTTATATCCGACCTACGAAACGTCACCTCGAAAACCCTGATTCGAATGTCTCCAGAGATGAAGCAGGGAATCTGTAAGATATGCAATACAATACTCAATGAAGGATCGACCTGTTCCAGCGAAGTCGAAAACAAAAGCAAAGGGGGAAAAAAGCCTTGGGCGGATGTGCTGGTGAGAAAGTGCAATGTCTGTGGGACTGCGAAGAGATATCCTCTAGGGAAGCGGCAGAAGAGACGACCTTTGCGCATGCAGACACTGGAAGCAAATGGACTTGAAGAGCTTGGGGGAGATGCTGTGAGTTGAAGGAACCACAATGGACTCAATTATGGGGACTACTAAATCGCTTTCAACTTGCGTCTCGCACAAAACATATCAGCAATGGCGGCATTCTCAGCCCAAAGAGGAGATAATATGACATACTGTGATGTCGGCTGTCAAGCGACTTCGCACGAGAAATTGATAGAGACATTCCGTGGCGCAAAATATCTTCACAGCCCACTACTTCTTTTGATGTATGGGATATAAGGGAGGTAAAATTGGCTCGCTCCAGCAGGTCGAGCGTGGATTGGTCAAGCTGAACTGGTCTCGATTGTATCCCAGGGCGTGCCCACTAAGTGGGTGCTCTTATGGAATTTTCCTTTTGGATATCCAAAAAAGGAAAAAGTAGAAGAGACCCCCCATCGGTAAGGAGCGATGGGAAGAAGTTTCATAACGGCTGGCTATATACAGCGACCCTGATAGCCAGGAACCTCATACGCACTCCGAGCTCAGAAACGACATCTTAAATAGATTTATAAAATCGCCAAACCAACCAAACAATTTAATTGAATTGTTCCCATAGACTTCCCAACTCAGCAGTGCGAGGCCAAGAACATCAGTAGCAGGAGCACACAAACTCCGGGGAGCCTATGTGCATAAATCTCGAGCTTCCCACTCGCTTACTCCACCTAGATTTCTTCAAAGTCCATAGATAGCCAGGAAGGATTGACTGGCTGTTATAACTTATGACTTATACAACTTGACTGTTGTACCCATCTTAAATTGCGGCACACTATCAGCGTTTCCGACTTTCAGACCGAGATATACAGCCCCTTCGCAAAAGCGGGAAGAATCTAGGGTATCTTACTACCGTAGTGTGTTGCAGGGTAACTGGCAAAGTATTTTATATGTGAATTGCCTATTCCCACAGTTTCTGTGGTCGCGAAACATCTTGCTATTTTTGCAGGGGCTTTACCACGAGTCCTCCTTATTCCAAGATGTAAATGCTACAGTACAGGCAAATGGAGCTCCCGGTGGACATGGAAACTGGCAGACCTCTTTGATCTTATCCTGATTTAACGAAAACCCATTATATTATATGATTTCTTTGGAATGATTAAAATGATTTACATATCGAGAACGATAGCACAATAAAAACAATTGTTCGAGAGATTTTAAACATTTTTAGTATTTAGAATTAACTTACGCTAATAGATGAAAAATGTATCCCTGCTACTTTTCTTGTCCACTGGGAGTGGAGATACGGAGGTGAATAGTTCGTATGTACCTAGTCGAGCTAGTAAAGGGACACATATTTATTTGTAGGATGAGACTACTACGGAGACAGACTTATAGCGCCGACAGCGAGAAGCATATTTCATGTATCTTGTGAATTGTGAAAGGTAGCGTTAACATATCCATACTAGGTGTGAATGGTCAGGTTAGTACCCAAAGTTTGCAGAAGCAACACGTGCGTGTCTCAGAAAACCCACAGTAACAACAGATGACGATATCACAACAGATGAAGAGGTCATTTAGAGACTTCATTGGGGTATCTATCTTCAACCAAGCAACAAGAAACTAACATACAAATCCCCCACAGGAAGATTCCAGCCTCATGACTGCGCAGAATGAACTACACAACCTCCCACCTCGCAAGCCGTCCGATACTCTCCCCGGCATTCCTAACAATACACAACCTCTGTCTACCCCCTTTCCCATTGCCCTCCCTCCTCAACCCCTCAATAACCCTCCTCACACAAACACTCCCAATAGCAACACCCTTCCCCTCAGAAAGATTAAACTCCCCCGTCGTAACGAAGCCAATCAAATCCTCCTCATCGGGAACAAGAGGATGGTCCTCCACTTTCTGACCAGGATACGCCAATGGCGGATCATGGAGAAGTGTTTGGGCCAGTAATCTAGTTCTCAGGGGGACCGGACAATTAAGTGGGATCCGTGGAGGTTTCTGGCCTTTGGGGTTGGGTGTGCGTTTTGAGGATGTTGAGGGTGGAGGGAGGGTAGCGAGCCAGGCTTCGCGGGTTGTGGGGGGGTTGGTGGATTGTGTTGATTCGTCTGGGAAGATGGGAGAGGGAAGACGGTAGATTCGGGCGCATGGTGAGGCGATACCGCGGGTGGTGAGGGTTAGGCGGATGGTGGCTACATGGGATAGTGGTGGGAGGTCGGCTGAGGGCGTTGAGAGGAGGGCTGTGAAATGCTTTGGGCTGATATGGGTAATTGGTTTATTAACTTCGGTGTTCTTTGGTGCATTCTCTGGTCCATCTATTAACATGGCATCTGTTGTATCCTGAGTGGTACTTTGGGTTGTATCACCGGTGCTTGAAGGTATCGTTGATAGCCCAACTAATCTTTCAAAATCACAAGCCCATCCTCGACCAATTTCTCCTTTTCGTCCAGCGCCTAGATCAAGCGAATCCCATTCGACTCTCTTTCCTTTCGGTCTGCGGTCCCATTCCCCTTTTCGTGTTTCTCTCTGTTCAGCCTCCCAAGCAAAACCAGCAGCTGTACCGGGATAGTCGGCCGGAAACCAAGGTTTGCCATGCTCAAAATGTATTTGTTGGAGTTCATCAAGTCCTCCGAATCGTGGATTTCCACCAGATGTCAGAGGGTGATGTACTAGGCCATACCAAATAGGCAGAATACATTTCCACGGTGCAAGGAGTGTCCAAGTACCTTGTGCCGACCTTGAGCTTGAGCGAGATACCAGTAGCATAATTGGTATCTCTGGATCCGTGAGAAGGACAGTAGGATATGCCCCAGGAAGTTCGCCGGCTTTACGTCGATTAATAGACTTTTGAGCTGGAAGGCGGGTCGCTTTGAACCGAGCATTTCTGTCAAAAAGAGCTCTTGATGGCGTGGAGGAGTCCACAGGCCAGCTCGATAACGTTTCCAGAAGAGCACAATTAGCTTCCTCGTCATCAGGACTTGGTAAGGCAACCCTCCTAGATGGGTATCGTAGACGCGGATCCATGATGGGAAATGCTAAAATGACATTTGCAGGTAGTGTCCCGGGATTCGAGAGCCCCACAAAAGATTTGAATGTCTTTCCATGTTCCTCTGGACTATCGGTGGAGCCATTGTATGGGTGAAGAATCCCCAGTAAAGTCTCGGTTGAGCCTGGACCTGTAATCTCGATGCTTCCAATCTCAAACCTCAGGTCTTCAAGGTGTACTTTTGGGTGCTGTAATTTAGAAAGACGAAGTAGCTCTCCCCATGTTTCAAGAAATATCGAAGGATGTACTCTCACGAAGACTTTTGCGGTATCAGATTCTACTTCTCGAGCACACCATACAACCGTTGAGGGTCCGATTTGAACAACCTCGCCCGCGGGTTTCCTCGTCAACCAACCAGACCAGGCTCGCTTTCCATCCCTCCACTTCTCACCATGTTGGTTCCATAGAGCGTCAACATCTAGACCTACCGATTGCAAAATCCTTTTGATGTTAGAATTGGACCCTTCTAAGCGTAAAGTGCTCATATAACTCATGTCCCATGCGACAGCTCCCCTAGCACCAGAAGCTCTATGTGTTGGTCGATAGGATTTTTCCGTCGATGTGGTAGGTATAGTAAATCTCCATAATGGCTTCTTGGGTTCGGTCATTTTTGCTCTTTTCGCATGCCACATGTGAGTAGGCAGCCAGGTTTTATGAATTTGCCTCTTCCTAAACTTCGATTTTGGTTTTGGGGGTTCGTTCAGCATATTCTTTCGTATCTTTGGGCGCGCAACCCTTGTTTCCACGGTGCAGGTGGTTGTACCATCTCCAGCCTTCGCTTTCTGTGCCCGCTTTTTCGATGCTAATATCCCCAATCGCTTTGCAGTTTCTGCTCGCAGTCTGTTCCTCGTTGTCCCAGGCTTTCGTTTACTCGGATCGACTGTAGGGGTATTGTCATCTTTCATTTCCTTCTTTGCCCGCTTTAACAATCGTTTCGGAACTCTTTTGACATTGTGACTCGCAGTTCTTCTTCGCATGTCCCTGGGGACTTGTTGAAAGGCTCTGGTTGAGAGACCACCCTTGGCTTTCTGCTGGCCATCTTCCAATGCTTTGATTTCAAACTCGCGGGCTTTCAAAAAAGCTTGCAGATCCAGCTCGCCATTTTTCAGTGCGGCGTCCGCATTTTGTGCTATGGGTATTCGCGCATCGTATATTTTGGCGCGCTTTGGATCGCGGCCTTTGGGGGTTTTTTGGTTGGACGAGGAAGATGATTGAGGTGCCTCTTTGCGTTTTTGTCCCTTGTTTAAATTTGTAGGAGCCGCCATGGCATTTCCGAGGTGACCGTATCAATTCATGGAGTTGAGAGGGAATTCGTTGCAGATGGAGTCGTTGGAGGGGAGCTACTGAGGTCCGGTATAAATTCACACCGGCAGCATGTCGGCACCAGCACCGGCACCACCATGACGGCTTCAGCACCAATCATCGCCAACCTGGAAAACTTCAAGAAACAATTGACAACGGACTCGACAAAATGTTGACGCGATTCTGAGTCGCGGCTAACGATTCAAGGAGCTACCACTATCAGCTGACGTTCAAGTGAAACGTTCAGATCGTTCGAGACTTTTTCATACATCTTCTTCAAAGCTCATGTTATCTCGGATTTTGTCCTTTCCTCTATTCCCACATGTACCAAGTACATGCATGCAAACTCTTCCATGAACGCTCACTCCTACAGTAGCTCATTTGTTGGAATAATTCTGCGTTGTAGCCTGGAAGTTATTCTGGCTCATTATTCTCATCCCCTTCCCAACGGTCCAGCACACCCAACCAAGTGTTCTCCACGTGCCTACGTGAAATATCGCGTCCATTCTTTTTCGGTTGCCTATCCAACACGTCCTGGTGCATCAAGCACGCGAAGCTTGGTGGGCAGCAGTGGATCAGAGACGCGAGTAGCGCGATGAAACAATACTACGCGATGCAAACAATTCCTACCCACCAATCCCACAAAGTCACATTTAATTTTGTGTGACCCGGAAATAAGAGTCATACTTAAGCAATGGGGCTATTTGTTTTGGTTCATTTTTTGGGCTTAATATTTAGTTGCTCTTCTCTTAGAATTCATCTCATGTTCAAAAACAATTTATCTGACTTTCTTGTGATATTCCGAAAGATCCGATCTTTTTGATATTCCTCTGTTGACTGTATCACCGCCACCCGCGTTTTCAAACTCAAAACACTTATTGGGCAAAGCTCAAATGAGTGAGAATACCTTTGAATTTCAACTACTTTGTTCTATACTCGGCTTTCCAAAATCCGAAATGAGCGATTTTTGTTACCAGCCTTCGAGAGTTGTGAGGTACGTCGAGTTTGCACGACACGAGATCCCACGTCAGCCGTGATTGTGATTTACTCGGAATCCGATCCCGAAGCTTGACCTCATGACGAATTGTTCTTATCGCCTCATTCTTTTCTTGTATATTGACATGAGATCATCACTGATATTCCTTCGATTCCCAGATTCTCCAAGGTCTCATCACGAAGTGTTTCACCAAAACCAAGAAAGATGCCGGCTTCTTTATATTGCACCTCAACAACACTAGCTCCATCTGTGTCATCAGTCCTTCCCACTTCTCCACCATCCACTTCTTACGATGGCCTCCCTACCCCACCTCCAACGCCAACTAAGTCTTCGGGTCCAATTCTTGGTTCGGATGTTTCCGACTTGGTAACATCTACATCTAAACATGTCAAATCGATACCCTCACTATACACCCTCCCAACCGAAATTCTTCTCCAAGTCATCTCTTACCTCCCAACTGCCGCTTACCCGTCTCTCATCCAAACCTCTCATCAGCTCCAAGGACTTTTCAACAATCACGCCTCTTCTATCATCGCAACACAGATTCAAACCCATCACTCTCATACGACATCTCTCCTCCAAGCTACCTTTAGCGCTGAAGACTCATCCGGGAACTTATGGCTTGTCCCTACCCACCCATCGGTCCTCCTTGCCGAAGAGGGCATGTGGGATCAGGAGGGCTCCGTCGACACCCTCCAGACTCTTGACTACGGGCCAAGAACAGCAATGAAACAATCCCTACGACTCACCCAACCAGGTCCTCAATTCCTCCTGTTCTTAGAAAGAAGAGGGTGGGAGATTGACACCAGATTCGCAATGATGTCTCAGCTCCAACAAGTTAGCTCTGAAGAGAGGCTGCAAAGCGAAGAGGCTCTGAGCTGGGCTCTGGAACGTTATAGTATCCGACCTTTTCTATCTGAGTTGGCTTCGTTTGTTGGCTTCGATATGCCTGCAACCAATAACGCCAGGAACGTCGAGACCAGAGCTCACAAGGCACCCAAACAACCATCACTCGGTTCTAGAATGAGAAACAAATTTCGTGGTGCAAAGCTCACGGTATTTCCCAAGCCCACTCCCCCACAACAAGAGGTTGAAAAGCGTTCCCTCCTCTTCGGCGAGGTCGAACCAGAAGCAAACACCATCAGCGCTCCAACAAGTCCCATCTCAACGGAAAATTGCACAGTCAGAGAAATTGAGAGTACATCACCAAGACCTTTGTCTCATCGCCATCCATTCACAGACTCCCTCGGTTGGTACTTTAACATGAATCATGTCGTCTTAAATAAGGACTCATCTGCTCCCGTAACGGTATATGATTCTGAGGAAGTGGAAGATGATGAGGATATGTTTGAGCTCGGCGATTTGTATGTTGAGAAGGGTGTGAAAGCCAGTCTTTGGAGATGGAGGAGGGGTGTGGAGAAGAAGGTTGCGAGGGGGAAAAAGAGTGTTGGCGGGTTCTTTAAGGGGTTGAGGTGTGGGACTTCGGATAGTTTGAGGTCTGATGTTATCTGATTGGTATATGATTGGAGTTAGTTCACAATGTGGGTTTATTGGGCTAGGGCCGAGGGCTGGGGACTTGGAAAGGTACAGCACATCTCGTCACGGCGTTGTTTAGCGATGCATTGTTTTGGAATGGATTTGGACCTTGGGGTTTCGGTCTGGGGAAGGATGCATTCGGTACACGGTCTGCATGGCGATTCGAGTATACCGATTGTAATTGTACTGGGGAAGCGCTGGTCTCGTTTTCTATCCACTTTCCCACGTGGCTGGGTTTTCATTATATCGCAGATAGCTTTACAGATTAGTTTTATTTTAATCATTTTATATAGGATGGTTTCATGGAAAGTCAGCATATCTTATCGTCAATAGTTCAAATCATTCGAATATCTCTTTATTCAGTAGTGCCTCACTTACCCACGCTCCATTCCATCCCAATTCCCAAAACATCCCATCTCAAATCTCAAAATCCAAATATTCAACACCTCATCTAAGGGAGGCGGGCATTACTCCGTACACCACTAAGTTATAAAAATATTATCCTAGAGACCTTATACAAATAAATCAATTACACAAATAATTTAGACATTAATACCCTTCGCTCCTTATTATTAATTGAGGTAAATTGAGGTAAAATAGAACAATCAATGAAGTTGTGCCAGACTTTTAGTATAATAACTTTAAATAGCGTGTACAGAGTAATGTCCAGGTTTCTTACCCCCCTCCCTCAGTTGCCATTGTGTGATGGTGGTGGGGGTTGTCATTTTTCGGGTTAGGCCTTTGAGGTGTGATGATCTTTCTTTGTAGAGAGTAGATAGGAAGGGTTGGGGTGGTTTGGGAGGTTAGTTTCGTTGGTTGATCACACAAATCGTTGCTGGAGCCTGGAGTGGACCTCTAACATCTTTCTTGAATCCACATGCTAGGCGCGCGCAAATGGAGTGGATTTGAGGGTCTGGTTACAATGGAAGCCTTGGAGTGACTTGGGGAAGATCCAGGAACTTGAATAGATAGTAGGCGATTTTGAATAATTCATTTTGCAAGTCCGTAGCTATATATATAAGTTCGCAGAGTCCAACCTTTTCCCTAAACCTCAAACCTTGATATCCATAAAATTCGCTTAGAAAAGAAAGGTAACACAAATGCCAGTCTCCTGTTTTGTCCCTGACAATATATCCTGACTAACACGAAGACGGATTCCATCCTTCTCCCCACAGGCTTGCTACAGTATCCATGAGTTGACCTCGACCCCAATTTGATGCGCATTCCTCTGGAGTTTGAAAGAAACTGGGTTTACAGCCTTCACTTCATTTCTCAGAGTCTCCAGCCGAATCGTCCCCAGGGACCATGAGCTGCTGGAACCGGCCCACCTGGTCCCTTCTTCTCTTTGAACCCCTCGCCCCATCCTGGTCCCCACCCCTCAGACCATCCAGCAGATGAAGTCTCAAGCGAAGTCCACGTAGAAGAGGAAGAAGTGCTCTCAGAGGTACTTGTTACAAAACTCTCACTTGTGACTGATACAGTTGTGAACACAGTCGTCACCTCCGTTCGAGTCTCAAAGACCACCGAGACGCTACAAGCTGATGACGGTGATGGGGTTGGTGTTGTGACTCCTGAGTTGCCAGATACTGTTGAGCTCGTGGGTGGGTTTGTGGAGGTGTAACCGATTGCTCCTGGATATTTGGTGTTGATACATGAGCATGCCGAGGAGACTTGATGGTAATTGTCACAGTTTACGACGTTTGAGGGAAATAATGTTGCAGTAGAAGGAGAGGTAGTATAAGTTGCACCGAAAGGAGCGAGTTCAGAAGAGTGTCCGTCGAAATGGCGTAGACAATTGTCTGGCTGACAATCTAGCGAGGAGAGAGGTGGATCAGCGGTTGTTGTCGAAGCGGTACTTGAGAGTCCTGCAGAGGTCGTAGAGCTTAGGAGTGTACTCGTTGAAGATATTGTTGGAGGTGGTGTAGCAGAAGTGTTGATGCAGGAGCAGGCGGAAGAGACGCGGGATGGATTTGAATCACAATTCTCCACTATAGACGGAAAGCTTGTAGCGGTCGAAACAGATGTGGTATAGGTGGCGCAGAATTGTGACAGGTCATTAGAGAAACGCTGAAAGTGACGGAGACAATTGTCGGGTTGGCAATCCAAGGGAGTAGTTGTAGCAGGAACAGTGGGAGAAGAAGTGACCGAGCTTGTTGAAATGGTAGGGGCAGAAGTTGCCAAACTGGGGCTTGTAGAGGAGCTCGTAAAACAGCTACTTGACATTTGGCAGGTGTTTGAATAAGCAGTAACAGTTGAGATCACTGTGACCGTTGCTGTGCAATCAGTGGCTAATGATGGGGCGCCAAAGGCAATTACGGCGGCTGCTACCGCGAATTGGAAGGTTTGGGGCATTTCTTCTGTTTGATTTGCTTGGAGGGGGTATTCAGAAGTGGTTTCCTGTAGGCTGAATGGGAAAGTTCAAGGAGAAGCAAGGAAGTGATGAGCGAGTGTGATCGTGCAATGTGAAAATGAACGCAGAACGTTGGGTGCTTATAACTATACATGACGAATTCAAGGGAACAAACCGTTGAAGGAAAGAGGATGTGAAATGAGTCAAATCGGCCAATAATTGCAACCTTGCAGATGAAAAAGGGATCCATATCAGGATACGTAGTATGTAGGAAATGAAAGTGAGACTTCAGGGCGCCGTAGCCGAGGAGTGCAGCCGAATGTAAGGGTCCATTGAAACATGCGAAGCGTAATTCTTGAGTAAGTAGAAATGCAGAAGTTGATCTTAGCAAGGAACTCCGGAGAATGGAAAGGGATAGAAAACACAGAACTCCAAAACTTGTTGCTAAGAACCATACCGAGATCCGAAGCGAAAAGAAGACTATAAACTTGGCGAAGCTTGATTTACGCGCGGGAATGTCGTGCTTCAAGGTTCAGGAATTTGCTTGTTGGGGTTGTGTAACAAAGGATCTAACCAATCACAACATAGATGGGTACCAGCGCGAATAGGTTTTCCCGATGAGGAAACAATGAAGCTATCCAGATCCGGATACTTGATTGATCACAGGTGACGTTTGGAAGGGAAGGTTTCAAGCACGGAGCAGGAGTTCAAGCTTAGCCTAACAGCTTTTCTTTGGGCCTTATAATTGAGGCATACAGGGGCCAAAGCGTCATCAAAATACTATCCCTCATCGCTCCCTCGTAGTAACTCTCTGCGAATTGCTATACGCCCCGCTTTGTCTATGTTGACCAACGTACTCTACACTGCTTCTGCAATTTCTACCTCCATGACGATAACCTGAGAGGGATACGCTGGGGAGTTTAGGAGTCAATTTTAATATCATTATCCTGTCTGGCAAAGGTTTCCCTCATTTACAACCCCTACGCTGCCGTCATGGGCATCTGCTCGTCCTGCCTTGGACGAGGCCGCGAGCGCGATCAAGAGACCGCCGATGAGGTAAGTGATTTGGATGCAGCCGATCTACTTTTACGAGGGGGCGAGGGAGATGCACCGGATGAATGGACGCTGATACTCTCCTTCCGCAGGACGAAAGCTCGCGATTACTCTTCGATGATCCTCATGGGCACCATTATGGCAGTTTCGCCGATCAACACACTGGAACCACTCAAGCAGATCCACAAGAAGTTCAGAGGGAGACAGAGGCCTTGCAGAAGGTCGTAGCACAAACCTCAAAGTACGCATTTTAGATACTCTCAGCCATTCATTACGAGCCCACCGATCCCGATCTGCTCGCAAGATTCTCTTCGTTCCATGTCCTTTTGCACACCCTCAATTGATCCGTGGTACTGACTTGTGTATTGTAGCCATCTCGTCGACATTTTTGCTATGGTACCACCAAACGGCCAAACTGCCGCGTCCTCCATCTTCCCCGCCCAAAACGCGAAATTCCTCCGTTACCAGGACCTTCTTGCGAAGATGTCCTCGGACGACCAATCAATCCGGGCCAAGCCACTCTCTGCAGAGAACACGCCTAACGTATCTGATGGATGGTTGTCGGAAGAAGATGATCTGGAGGAAATGAAGAGTTACAGGCCCGTCAAATCAGACGGGATAGGCCCCCTTCTGGGAGGATTCGAAAATGCAGATTCTGCCATGGAATAGACATGGTTGGCAGGCGTGATACCCAACGATTTCCTTTGTTATGTGTTGCACGGCGTTGAGGCGCTGGGCTTGTTGCAATTCCATGATATTGGGGCCTGCTTTCAATGCAATTTGTATGTGATCTGAGGATGGAACAGATGATTATTGGGATTTGACTGGACCAGCAAGCGTAATTTGACTATGCGTTGTATCATTCCAGCATTTCCTTTGTCAAAAGCGCTTGTTTACTGGCTGCTGGGTCGTTGAACAGAGCCTATCAAATTACCCTCCTGCTCTGCAGTAGGCTGCAACGGACGTTCCATTGAGGGTTAGCCACGTTCGCAAAATTTCACTTGATTTAGTCTGCAGACTCGTCTCATAAAGACCTGTTTCTCTCCCTCATTTCTCCTCTTCTCTCCTTCATTTTGTTTCTGCCATTTTGCACGATGTGAGGGCGAAGTCATGCCAGTGCTGCAGCCTACCGCGTAGTCTTCATCATGGCTCTGGCTAATATGGTGCAGCTTAGGCGCTTAACCAACGACATCAACAACACACTAACTCATCTCAAAGACCTGTTCTTCTCTCGCCACATGCACAGCGTAACCTCACCTCTCGATAGTACTATACTGATATATATGTCAATCTGCTCCTCGCCATGCAGTCTAGACTTTTGGCTCGCCTCGAAATTCGCATCCAGCCGCTGGCCAACTCTTTAAGCGCCCGGAAACCCTCAACGTCAATTCCCGAGCTCATAAACATGGTTCTCACTGGATCGAGAATAGGATACGGTGTCACTTGGATCCTCAGGTTCTTGAAAAAGCGATCGTTGCCGTTTCATCGTTACACACTACTGCGACTCAAGAGAACTATTACATTCCATGCCCCCGAACCATTTCCAGCGCCGCCGTCGATACCCATATCCATTTTTCCTGCAAATCCGTAAAGGAAAGTCGTGAACCAACGAAATTTCCTAAAACAAAACAACGCCCTGCCCATGCCCATCAAGTCACCGATTCGCACCACAATTTACCTCGTGGAGGCCATGTTCTGACTCTTCTGGTACTTGAGTTCTTCGATCTCGAGATACAGTTTCTCGATTGTACCTTGAGAGGCTTCAATCGACGCGCCTCGCTGATGGCCCCGCTGCTCTTCTTTCACCCATCGATTGATCCGGTCCTGCTCTTTGCGAACACGGCCCTCCTTGGTGTCGATCTTGGTGCAGATTTTACACTTCTCTGGCTTCTCCAAGGTGTTCATGATCAACTTCATACCACAGGTCTCGCCAGTCCGATACTCCTTGGAGCAGTGCTGACGGAAGTGACCCCACTTGTGGCAGTTGCAGATCATTCGGTATTGGTCGTAAAAACACATTTTGGCGAAGGTCTGTGCTTTCGTCAGACGGGCTCATTCTACGACCACATCTGAAACCGATATGGACTTGGAACGCAAAAACTTACTGGCTGTGGTTCAATACTTGAATCAAAAGGGTAGCCTTTCCCTATGGGGGCAAGGTGTTCAAAGTGTAGTGGGTTGGAAATTGAGTGTATGGTGCAGGCTTGTGGTTTGAGAATATAGAGGAGTATCTCAGATATTTGGATATGAGGAATGATTGCTGATGGATGCTGATACAGATACGAATATGCGGTTCTAAGGGGGATCTTTATACTCATCCATTACCATGAACGGCTGGGATATGGGAAAACAAATTCCCCGTCGATTATTGCGTTGAAGCCCGATGGACATCACCTCACCTGTTCATCTGCGGTCTCCCCCCCGCCCGCCTTCACGTTCTATACAACAGACAACGCATTTCTGCAAGTTCTGCCGTTTTGTCACCCCAGGCCTCCATACAGGAAAAGATATCGTTTTCCCTGTGGAACACAGCCAATTCGTATCACAACCCTGCAAACCGCATTGCCAGTCTGTTGCCACTTGTGTTGGCCTCCACTTGGATGATCCGGCCCTATCGAGGCAAATGAAATCTTATTTCGATAGGATGAAAGCTCAAGATGGCCAACTGCCCGCACATGCCAGGTTCTCTTGCATGTTGGTCAAGCTGGTGTATGCTGCCAGCATGTGTTAGTTGCAATGTTTATCAATCACGTTATGGCCTCTCGATCCATGGCTCCGTGGCCAACAAATTTGACCGGCTTAGTTACTGGTCAATGAGATGAAGCTCCTGCGGGGCTTCCCGTTTGTTGATGGACACGGGACTGTCCATAGCCTTGACCAAGACCGCACTTTCTTGTGTTTGAGGACGCAATATCCAGCATTACCAAACAAATCCCTCATGCTGAAAGCTGTTATCCAACCGGATCAAATGGATATCCGGCCGCTCTTTTGTTGTTCTTGCGCCCTCTCATGCAGCACGTCTTGTCTTGTTTTTCTGGCAACTCCTATATCTGCTATATTAATCGGTCCAAGGCACACATCCTTTCGGGCCGTGAGTTATCGCACATTAGTGGCGGCCCATTGATATGCCAAAGTTCCTTTTGAAGTCAATTCGATATTGGATTATGCCTTAGCCATATCCTTGGGCATAGCCTTCAAGTCAGCAGACTGCTAGTCACCGTGGAAAAACGGATCTGTCTTATGCAGCCAGCAGAGCCCGCATACATCTTTCGAAGAATGGCTCAGCCTACAACCAAAATAGCCTTCTCTTCTCCCTTGCTGAATGGATGGCAAGGATGGTTATGATGCGTTGTCAGTGGTGCCGTGAGGCAAGATCAACCGCTCTTCATCATTATGCATGTGGAAGCAACGAGAGAGAAAGGGCATCTGCAGATCGCTGCGTCTTCTCGCCACTCGGACAGGTTTCCATTACAATTTGAGTCCATTTTGCTGTTCGCTAAGGTGTTGGATTCAGACTTTCCAGTGGGAGCTTACTGACGTGGCGGACTCACTATGGCTCTGTCTATCTCGAGTCTTGTTCGAAGGATGTTAAGATCCGGCTGCCATGCAGTCTGAATTTGAATGGCACAGCTTTTTTTATCATATATCTACTTTCTATCACATTCCTCAAGTTGTTTGGGCCTGCAAAAGGTCTAAGGCCAAAGACAATTTCTGCCGGTATTGACGGCGGCTAAGGCTTCTATTTATGTTAATTAGAGTGGCTCGTCATGACGCTCATCCGTTTCCAGTCCATGCTATGGTCCAAGTTTGTGACTTCTTCCAGGGCAACTCTTCACGGTGGCAAAAGACATGCAAAGCTGCATCAATAGTCACACCAAGACCATGAGCTAGTCGAAGATGCCAGAAAATGGTTGCTTGCAGTTTGAGGCGGAGCCTGTTTTTAACCCAAAGTGGAAGCTGGACTTGGATCAGGGATTTATCAATGACGAACTCAAGCTGATCGATGGGCGTTTTTTTCTTTTTGGACACACGAGGTGAGGAGGTTGGGGCTTTTGGTGAGAAAGCCTACGACGACGAATGCCTGATGCAAGAAAGCTGGTATGTTGGGAATCGCGAACTTTGACCGGGTAGCCGATGTTTACAGGATATTCTGGCCCCATCTCATGAACCGATAGGTGATAGCGTTGATAAACAAGGCCCCTTTTTTGGCCCAAGCGAGAAAAATTCTCCCAGGCGCCAAAAGCCGAAAAATAAGTAAATGTTACGTTTCCATGACGGGTTCCGCAAAGCCTCACTTTGACATTGTGAGAGGACGTCTCCTTTGACAAAACGTTCCAAACAGAACTTGAGATGTAGTGTCCTGAGATTCGGGTCACCTTAAATCATGTGCTGATGACTGGAATGCGGGGGTTGCTTCTTCTCTCCCCTTTAACCTATTAGCGGTGGGTATTGCCATGCGAGAAAAATAAGGTGTGTGCAGCCTCACCGACTGCTACCACCAAGTAAGACGTTCATTGGGCTTATTGGTCGATTGAGTACGGGGAGGCTTGGGAAACGATAGCGGAATGAACGCTGGCTAATATCAGGCGGGGGTTCGTCCTATGAGGGCGAAGGAAAATTAAGTCAAGGAGAACAACATAGTTGTTGAGGGGTGGGTCGCGATTCCTCATTCGGCAGTGTTTAGTCACTATCAAACGATATTCTGGCTACCATATTGTTCAAGTTCAAGGATGGAGAGTGAATAAGCGGTCACGGAACTGGAATCTTTCCGGCTCGAAAGGGTAGCAGTCAAATCCATCATCCTTCTACAATCCCCAAATGGCCATTGATATCCATGCAAAATGTGGAGGCTCGGAGTTGACGGTTGTACGTACTGAAGTTACCTTCTTCAAGGTCGTCACAACGAGTGATGGTACATGAGTACGAAGGACCTGAGGCAAGCCCGGCGTGATGCAGAGGGAAAGCGAGCTGGGTCGCATTGACGAGGCCAGATCAGGGGACAGGGACGCAGCAGTTGCAGTGAGCTGTATGCAAATGCACTATGATAGCGTGCAATGTGTGGCGTTAGTGTGATATCAAAGACCACATGTCTGATGATCTTTTCGGCCACGGGCTAGCTATGCTTCAATGAACGCGATGACATGATGAGGTGGTGATCTGGGACGAGGCGAAGGTGCAAGTCCATCAACATGATATGAGTTGTTCTTGTCACGTAGTGTAGAGGTGACTTGGTAATGGCTTTCGATATGCCGTGAACTCCTCTCTGCACTCTTCGGTCTGTCCTTTTCCTCGACCGACTTGTTCTCACCCAGACTCATCTGGGTCATTGCGCACATGTGAGTATGTGTGGTAACAGATTATGAGCGTGGATGAGTTGGCCGACATACATTACATTTTCCTGTTTTCCTTGGGTCTCTCCGTTTCGTTGGCCAGCTACCGAACCGGGTCTTGGTTATGGTACCGCAGAGGCCGAATTCGTGGTTGTGGTGGTCGAGAATTCGGCCAGCCTTGGATTGCAGAGGCCAATGAAAGGGGGGATGGTGGCCTTCATTGTGAGGCTCAAACATGACCTTTTAATTGTCTGCATGCAGCAATCAGCATTTTGGACGCGTTGAAAGCGACCGCCTTCCTTCTTCTCCCGTTAGATGGAGTCCCCATAAGTGGGGTCTCAAGTAAGAGGTCATGAGTGACACGACCGGCAACTGAGTGCTAGATAGGGAAAGGAAGAGGGGTGGATCAATCGGTCGTGGCAGCTTTCACAATTCGTTTTGGTCGATTACGTTACATGGTGCCTGACGATGAGGAATTGTAGACGACCCCAAGGCGTTTTTTCTGTTGCATTTTTTCGTCGAGCACGTTTTCCTATTATGGTTAATTCCGTAAGCATTATGCATAGTGTTGACTCCAAGTCACGGTTCATATATATACCCTCAGTGCAGGTGTTGCCTTAGTTTACCACATTACGCCTTAGAAATTATGCACGTGATATAAGCCTTGAGCTTGCATTTCATTGGATGGCAATGGCGTAAACATCCGATGGTTGGGTTCATGAGTGGTACTTGGGAAACGAATACCAGGTGGGATCTGGCGGAGATTTTCATCGATTGTAACCGTTGCAAGAGCAGAAGTTGTGCTCAGATTCGTTGTTTGTTTGCGGAAGATAATTTAGACGAGGCAATGAGCACGAGGGAAAAGGGGCTCCGGTTGTTGTCGGCCCACCTGATGATGCGAAGTGTCTCAGATTGCGATAAGGGGGTGGTTTTGTGACCCCGCTAAAACACGGGTCACGGACGACGACAAGCCAGCCAACTCTTTGTTGGGAATACTGCGAAATAGCATCACCAAAACATCAGCTTTCACATCTAAACTTCCAAATAACCTGTTCTCCCATATCTCCTTTTTTTCCACATGCGAGAATCCCGTTCAAATAAATAGCTTGCCTCAACGATATCATGTCTCTTGAGCTAGTACACCCCTCCAACGAAACTCGCGATGATGACCATGAATACACCCTCGCGGCCCTCCCATCTGAAATCCTACTTCAAATCCTCTCCTACCTCGATATCCCTGATCTATTCCCATTAACTCGAACCTCGCATCAACTCCGAAACCTCTCGCTCGACCCCCTCCTCCATACCACCCGTCTCCATCGAGCCTCTCTCTCCCTCTCCCACTCCCTCACAGTTCGACCTTCACTCGGCGAACTGATGGCACATCGAATCTACATAACTCGCACAACGCTGGCCGCTCGTTCCCTGGGATGGAACCTTACAAAAATAAAGTTGAATAGGCAGCTCCGACATCGACCTAGTGTCGAAAGCCTAGTAGAAATGGGCGTCCTACCTGGCGAATGTTACAGACGAGGAAAAGGCTGGGTGAGTCCCAAAATAGTGGACGCTAAGAGGAGAGTGGAAAGGGAGAGGGTTAAGGATGTTTTGAGGGGGTGGGTGGGGGAGTGGAGGGGTAAGAGGATGGTGCAGCTTGAGAGGGAGGTGGTGGATGTCAAACCTGATGTTAGGAGGCTGGCAACGAGGTTTGCGAGGGACAGAGAGGGGGGCAATAGCAGACAGACTAGATGGGGAAGGGAGGCAAGAGAGAAGCGGGAGGCTCCCACTAGGGCGAAGGTTCTTGGATTGAGGAGGTTTTGGGAGAAGGTTGGGGAGGGTGCTTGATTTCTAGAAGTCAAGACCCAATTTTTATGGGGCTTTGGAGTTCATGAAGGTAATGATTTGTCGATCATTCTTGTACGATGTTATGTCTTTGACGAATTGGAGCCTGGAGTTTGATCTGCCACGATTTCGATTCATCGTTCTACTTTTTAGAATGAAATATGTATGATAGGATGATAATCTGCCCAAAACTCTAGGAAACTCTCTATTCTTTTCTTCAATTTGGGGGTGAGGGTTTCGTCGTAGAGAAGTTCAAAAACTCGATCGGGTAGAATGAGAGGCTCGGATTGGCTAGAAAACGGAGTGGTGACACAACACGGCCCACCACATTTCACTTTCCAGAAAGCCTGCAGTATCCTAGCTGCGAACCTCGTCGAGACGTCAAATTTCTAGTGTAGAAATCTGAATCTCTTCTCGCTCAAGAGTTCCTTATCATACTTCAAACTTCGACCGCCAGTCAAAGGTTGCCAACATTACCACTTTGACCAAATATGGAAGCTGCCTCTAGCGGTATCGCTGTTGCTTCAATAACAATCCATCTCGCCGACAGCATCAAAACGCTTCTCGACTTCTGGGATTCGGTTCAAAATGCACCTACCAAAGTCCACACTGTGCTGGAAGATTTAGACTTGCTCACTTCGGTACTCGAAGATATACACCGAGTACAAGTGCAGTGTGGAGCTGATCCAAATACCACGCGGCTGCTACACAATTGTAAGTCTTCGAACTTGAATTTGTGCCTTATTGATTGAGAGAGTTCTCAGGCAAAGAGAAGATGAAACCTCTATTTGAACTCTTGAACGAGCTGCAAACTGGCTTTGGCTCTGGTAAGAAGCGTGTGGTAAAATGGACAGCGATCAAGGCTGCTTTCCGGGAAGATAAAATCCGAGCTATGGAGATATCCATTACCGATACAAAGCTCACGCTTCTACTTGCTCGCCAATGTTTGCAGGAGTAAGTTGTTCTCTACTAGTTCCTTAATCCGCTCAGCTGAATGGTTGGCTTCACAGAACAAGACAGCATGCATTCTACAAAAAGTTGGAAATGCAGATGTCGGAAATTTCTCAGAAAAGAGCGTATTCTTCACTGTCATGTACTCTCGACATCCACGCGCTAGGAGAGGATCAAAATCGTGCAGTGAATTCGATAGCAGAAAAATTTGCGAGCTCTCTGCAAAATCCAATACTTCGCTCTGCGGTAAAAGTCTTGTACTCTGAAACGATAGCTGAGCTCAAGAAGCCCGAACCGGGTAACGTGGGTCAAGACCAAGCTGATTATTTAACGAAAAATACCTGCCATAGTTCTGAGCGCTGCATCGAGGATGGACAAAGTACGCGGCCAATCCCGCGTGACCAGGAGCAGAATATCTCGCTTAAACCCTCCACTTCCTTAGCGCTTCCCCTTATAGTCAAAAAGCAAAGAAAGCGGCGCCTGTTTTCACAATCTGAGAAGTCATTCTCCAGTATCCTTGGGTTTATCAAGCTATTTACAAGATACTACAAACTGTCAGGAGAGTATGGGTTCTCTAGAAACAAAGAGAACCTTGACATCGAAACCTGTTTTGTTTTCCTTCCATCACGATGGATCACACTGTGCGGCATATCCTGTGGTTATCGCATGCTTGTTTCGAAGTCGTCTAAATCATGGCAGATTACGCCTAAAACAATCAACATTATCCCAGAAGAATCTTTGGCTTTCGAGTTCTCCGGAACTGGTAACTTGGAAGGAATAAAGTCACTGTTTACGAAGAACGCCGCCACCGTCTGGGATACAGACTATTTGGGCTTTACGCTCTTACATGTGAGGGCGTTTTCTGTTATTTATGATGATTCAGTTGTTTACTGAAAGGGGCACTGATCGCTTCTATAGGTGGCAGCGAGAAATTGTCATCTAGAAATGTGCAAATTCTTGATAGAACAAGGGGCAGATACAGAAATCGGATCGTTACACAAGCAAAGGTTGGTTTATTATATGTTATTATATGATATATCATTTCCGACAGACTACATAGGACACCACTTAACATGGCTTGTATGAACTTCTCAAGCACTTCCTTTATTCGGTTCAGTGAAGATAAGATAGCTATCCTCAATCTATTCATTAGCCAGCTCGAATTTTTCGACTCTGATTCGATCGGATGGAAATGTTTAGAAGACATCTGTCACCACGGGGGCATGAACGATCAAAAGCTTACAAAACATGCTGAGTATCTGGTACACAGCTTTTCCGAGGAGATTAGATCAACCCTTCGGCCTGGCTACTTAGCATATCCTTTAGCTTGCTTATTGGGTACAATCGGTAACAGAGGACCAAGGCTGATACAACTCTTTCTTGAAGTTTCTGGCAACAATTTTGACATTATCAATGAATTATTAAACGACGACGGCTACGCCCCACTTCATATATTGATTAGGTATCACAATGGTGATGCCTGGAACATATCTAGCCTCAAGCTGATTTATGAAAAGGGGGCCGATTTACATCTTTTATCCAATAGAGATGAATCCTATACCCAGGAAACTTTTAACTTGACACCGTATTTGCTCGGTCAAGATGAAGCAAGGCAATCCCCAACTTTTCTCGCTTTGCAAAAATCAACTTCGTTCTGGCATTGGCGAAATTTCATTGTAAACATCCTTCACTTGCGTATCGAGGAATTTGTTTCAATGGAGATAAGAACTACCACGACTCCAAATCACGGGTGGACAGAGAAATCCCTTTTGAAACTGTTTCAGTACGAATTTGAGTACGACTTTGAGACTTATGACTTTGCGTGGAAAACATGCGGTTGTCTTGGGCGACTTCTGTTAACTGGTGTTCAATGCAATAATTCATATGAAGAACGATCATGGGTGCGTCAGCTAGATAGACTCAAGCGCGACGAAGAACCGGACTTGTTCAAATTTCCCAATTATGATGACATCGAGCCTCCTTTATGCCGAAGATGCTGGGAACAATATGAGAAAGATAAAAGAGAGGAAGAAGCCGAAGAAGTGCTACCAAAGTGGCATTCATTCCTTTGAATAATGAAGACAGACGGCTTTCTCCTGATTGAAATATATCGCTCATTGATTTCATGTGTATTGTGGGAATTTATCGATTCGCTTGGATATTCACACGGCTTTCAACATATGTACTAAAACATCTTATGACTTCCATATTTGACAAGCTGTCCAGTAACCTGGGCTTCCAAATTCATGTTTAAAATCGTCTTGCTTCTTCTGACGAAGGGGCTCTGAGAGGATGCAGATATTTGTGATTGCAGTCTCAAGCCACTGCACTGACAAGAAAAATCTAAACTCTTTCAAAACTAGTCGTCGAAGCACACTAGCATGACATGATTTATTCACCAAACTCACGCCAAATGATTAGATGTAGAAAGTAAATAAATTCCTGCTCTTGTTCTGTTACGAGGTTTCCCCCACCCTGGTGGGGTCTACTGACATTTCGCCAACAACAAAAGCAAGCTAGAAATTATACCGATTGTCTAGTAATCTAAAAGTTACTTGTCTGCATCACGAATCTGATATACAGGAGTAAGACTTACAGAATGCAGCATTCCAACGTAGTTCCTGGTAGTTTGAAGAATTATTAATTAACTCTTTGTCTTACCCCACATTACTCCCATGACTTGATGTTGACTTTGAGTCGGATGATATCCATGTTAGCGCCTCAATCTTTGACCCTTCGTCCCAGGCGAAATAAATGTAGGTTTACTAGGGTGGCTAAGGCGAGCAACAGAGTAAAACCCCTGAAAAACCGAAGTTTATTTCGCCTGGGACGAAGTATCATCACTTTGCGATCCCTTACTCGGTCATCTTCCAACACCCGGTAGACAGAATGCTTAATCGGGTTTGGCTTTAGTCTTTTCGCCAACCAAATCGGTATGATACTAACGGTCATACCTAAATAAACATTCTGCCTACCGCTAGTGAAAAGTTGAGGAGTAAGGGATCTCTTACAGTAGTCTATGAGACATTTCAGGTCCTCATGGGTGGCTGCAGTTACTTTGTAAGTGGGCGTTTGGTTGGGATGCACGTGCAGCCGAGTTCTCGGAAGAGTACCCCTACTTTTACGAAACTCAACTGATTTCGAGTGTTTCAGAGAGTGTGCATTCGAATGATAAAACCGTTTGGATCGAGTATTGTTTTCTGTCGTAACCGAAGTGCAATAAACTAGTTGTAGTATTTCGACAATGATATTTCTATTGTATATAGACGTACTATAATATATACATTAACTAGGGCTGCCGGGGCTATTATGATTGCCTTCCGATCATGCGTACGGCTTTCGCAAAGATTTGCTTTTATAATTGCCATATAAATATATACTAAATATATATAAAGTGATATTGTTAACGTTGGGAGCACTAAGCGAGTTCACAGAGTGTAACGCCAGACCAGGAATTTAGTGTATCATCTGATTTGTATAGTGCACTCCGGATGAAGCCAGATTGTGTATTCGGACGAGCAATTTTCTTTTCACTCGATGTACAAGCTAAGAGGTCATATAACTCATTGCGAGTCAAGCGTTAATTGGGGTTGTGCATCCATACTTCGTCCTAGACATACTGTAACAAAAGTTGACTTTTGGGGAGTTTTTACCCTACTCTACTACAGTAGACACCCTTGGTGAACTCGACGTTTCTTAGACATGGGACGAAGTATTTTGTATGGTGCACCCCAGTGCAAGGCCCTAACCAAACAGGCCCTGGTACAAAGAATACTCAGTCAAATATTTGAGTTTTTCAATTTAGTATACTTCACCCCTGAGATTGCGATGGATAACTGGAGTGGCAAAGGAGAGGTCTCTGGGATGTTCACCCTTTTCTTGAACACCAGTTGATGACCCTTCCCAATATAATCTTCGGCTAATCGGTGGCCAGTCTTGTTTTGTTGGTAACACTGGCTGGAATACGACACGTAGCAAAACATATAGTGAATCACGCTAATTACGATTTACATCCAATGAGATTAACTGAAAAGAGCCTCGTTGTCTACAACAGAAGCAGTGATGTAAGATAACTAGGCCACTCACGTGTGTTTAAGGGACGCGTTACCTTTACAGTAGTCAAGATAGAGTTATGTACCAGATATAATTAGTGGGTCCCTTTAACGGGTCGGGCCCTTGGCTCGAACTTTGGAAGTTACTTTCCGCAAGCTTTGTAGGAATTCCACTCAACATAATCGAGTAATTCTCTTAACGTCCAAGTAAAATAAGCGGAGAATCCCAGAAGTTTGATGGCTAATAGGTTTAGAAGAGCTATGTGCGTGTGTGTTTGTGTTTGTGCACGTGTGTGGCTTATCCACAACTCTCAACCATGAAGTTCTCCTACCCATCCTTCCTCATCTTAATCTATTCCGTATATACTCCAAACGGACAGAGGTAAGTAAGTTTATACACAAACACAACCCTTTGATGACGACGGAGGGTTGCATTTGCTCTCTGGGAACTTGGCCTGGATTTTCCGGTCAGTTTCGTGGGTAAAAGTGTAGGATTATAGAAAGGAGATTTATGAGTTAAGATAGGGCATGAGGAAATAGCGGGAAGGAGGACGTACTACTTTCCCCAGCGGCTGACATGCGTAGCGACATGTTTCTGAGCATGAGGCTACTGCGCCTACAACAGAGGCGAGGGAGAGTGCTAGGACGACTTGGACAAGACCGAATGTCTTCATTTTGATCTCGTAGATGAGGTTTTATGAAGGAAAATTGAAGTTGATAGTTGAGTGTGGTTGTTGAAGTGTAAAAGTCGTTAGATGGTGATGAAGGTTTTGGATGAGGACTCAGAGGGGAAGGTTGGTTCTTGTAGAATTTGAGATGAAAGTACGACCGGGTGCTCCTGAAACTATTGTACTCTCGTCCAGACCCTTTAATCTTTTCGCGTTTGACACATGGGGAAAGTTAAGCTTTTCCGAGGATTATACTTCGAGATGTAGCAGGGTTTAATGGCCTGCTGTCAACCCTTGGCGACCTTTTATGCAAACCGCTGCTTTTCAGAGCCGAGTGGGCACAACGGGAGCGGGTCGCGACTTTTGTTCTACTAGCGTACTCGAGTACCCGAGTCCGAATGGCTGTAAAGGACAAGTCTTTAGAAGATTTTTTGACAGTTCAGAGGAGTTGTCTATATAAAGTAAGAGCAATTTAGCTAGAAACTCACTAAACCTGTCTGATGTAGGGCCATGTATTGCGTTCCTAGGCATGCCGTCTTGCCCTTGAGAGAATAAGTGGTGACTATTTAGGTGTCATTGTGTTTAGAAAAAGTTACTACCAACCAAGTAAGTACTTTAAAGCTGGGATTGCTAAAGTTCTACTCTTGCCTACAGGTAACTATAGACGTAGATAAAGCAGCATTCAAATCCAAGGGGTTAACTGCCCCTCAGATAGCCTTTCCCGGACCTCATTAGAATCGAGAGACTTTTATCGTACTTCTACAAAAGATCAGATAAAGGGACCGACAGCCAAGCTCCTCACCCCTTGTCAATCTCTACTATACCCCCACATGTATTGCGCAATCCAATTTGCTTAAAGGACTATATTGTGGATTTGTATATTCCGAGTCAAATAGACCGAAAGAGACTCCAGCACGACGTTTTCGGGGTAACAATTAACTCTGTCACGACTCGAAAAATATTATTTCGTATAATTCGTACTTAGGAACCGGACAGCTCGCGTCGCCACCCCTCTGCAAACGAAGTGTTAGAAATATAAGAAGGATATAAACGGCACGAATATACACTCTTTGCGAATGGTGACTCGTCGGGGGTTATACTTCTAGGTTAATTTGGCTCGCAGATCGAATGAAAAGCAAATACTTCGAAGTACATACTTCTATGCAAGGTTCGGGAAATAGTCAGCATATCCTTCAATGCTACCAATAAAAATCCGGAACCTAGAAGTAAGAAGTCCAAGATACAACCCGGGATATGCTTTTAGCGAGTATCCTAGTATCAAGTTTCGCCTGTACCACTTCGAGTACTTCGAAGTATAATGTTCGAGTACTTCGCAGTATAATGGTCTAACTTCTTTCGGACAGAAAAGTCCTGTACTGACGCGTGCACATTCCTAATGGTTCATCTGGCTCAGAATGTACGCTTGGAAAAGTTGGTGCACTATATAAATCAAACCCTATACTGTTTATGAATACTAACTTATAACGAATATAAGAAAGTTTTGACCCGTACATCGAATGGAATTAATATTACTTTGAACATAGTAGCCTGTCTATGTTTGAAGTGTACTAACAATATATTGCAAAATCCCGTATTAACGAATGCGCAATTCCAGCACGCTTATCCTAAACAATATAATTACTACTACTTTTTACATATAACAAGATATCCCTTCCAGACCAGAAAGGTACACAAAATCGTACACTCAAAGTAGAGCAAAAAACCTCCACTTTTACAACATCTACCCCGTAAAACAAAGTCGTTTGGCCATCCAGAATAGGTTCCTAAGCATTTGGGTCTTAATTCGACCTAGTTATCGTGTCCACTAGTTGTATTTACTTCGATATATGCACTTTTTTTTGTACCTCTGTGGTCTGGAAGAGATATACAGCTTTCCGCTGTATGGAAGCTGATTATTTTATTCCTTGTTGGTTTTATTCAACTGGGTTCCAGAAAGTACTACAATAAAGCAGGAGCATAAGATAGGGCTACGTAACTCTAGCTCCTACTATATGTAGTTAGCTAGTAGGTTATCTGGATTTGACTCGTTTCTCAGTCATATCCTGATACTCCTGAGTATTCGTACACTAGTGAACAATATATAAGTGTATATTTATAAATTGAATTTAGCATTCCTTCTGTAAAGACTTTATACATAAGAGAAAGTAAAACATATTATATCTAGACGGCATTTACCTTGGGGTATACACCCGAGCATACACAGAATCAAACTCGATAAAACACCCCAATTTTATACATTTTGGGGTAAGTTTCCCCAATGGCGTATATTCCACTAACCTGAGCTAAATGGACTGTAAATTACTTTCACGGTAGGAGGGGGTTCAAGTAGTCAATGAAATTGTTCTAGGCTTTCTCATTCGAAATCTCGAGTTTTGTAAAGAGAAGTTTACGTAGAGAAGTTTACGTAGAGCTTGCCAAATGCATGGAGCTTGCCTCTTTTTGAATTTGCTCGAGGTCTCCAAGCGACCTAATATTACGGGAGGATTGTTTCGCCATGTGATTTGAAACCTGATTGGGAAATAAGCTTGCTCTCCTCTTAAGTAAGCGAGAAGTTTTCATATAGTTGTTTAGCGAGAAAGAATATTTGAACATTAGTGTAACTCATTATCACTATAACTAGACTAGTCACCTGACATGATAAATGGACCAGACCCCTGGCATCCAACAGGGTTGTTTTTCTGTCACACCGCCCGCAAATTTGGTTCATCACCCGCGCCAAGGTGGGGAACAAATCGGCAGAATAATTTTCTATTCACGTCCCCCTCCATAGATGTTGCTCTCCATAAACACAACAATTTTGTATAATAGCCATCACCGTCAAGCAGATTTGCTAATGTCCAAAATGTCTGCAAACGATACCTATCAATCGCCTTTGGCGTCGCGATACTCCAGTAAGTTCAATTACAGTTCCTTGACCCTCAATTCACGTCCGATTACCCCGCAGATTCTAAGAGGACGCCTCTTTGAGCTCGTTGACCAGTGGCCGGTCACCTTCTATCTCATATCTCCTCTATTATGACACTTCACTGACAATTAGCTATATAGGCACGGAGATGAAGACCATCTTCTCTGCTCGGAATCGTGCGTCAACCTGGCGACAACTCTGGGTCTGGCTTGCGGAGGGAGAGAAACAGCTTGGTTTGGATATCCCAGAGGAGGCTCTTGAGCAGATGAAGGCAAATCTTACCATGACCGATGAGGATTTCAAGGTTGCCAGTGCGGAGGAGAAGAAGCGTCGTCACGATGTTATGGCTCATGTCCACGCTTTTGGTCAGGTCGCTCCTGCTGCCGCTGGCATTATTCATTGGGGTGCGACTTCTTGCTATGTCACTGACAACGCTGAGTTGATTTTTATGAAGAATGGTCTTGACCTCTTGGTGAGTGGCCTCCTTTTCCTGCATCAAGTTTGGGTCACCTATCTGAGGACGTGGGTTGGGGTTACTGGGTCCAATTGGCTCTGTGCACTCCAACATATCCCATCACATCCACCTTGCCTAATCAGATTGATCTATAAGCTAACAATATTCAATAGCTCCCTAAGTTGGCTACTGTCATCCACAAATTGGCTGCTTTCTCTGTTGAGTACAAGGATATGCCTACTCTTGGTTTCACTGTAAGTGCACCCTTCTCCTACTACACCTTCTACCTACACCAACCTATCCTCCACCTGAACCTCGCTAACCCCTGCCAAGCATTATCAACCCGCTCAATTGATTACTGTCGGACGTCGCGCTGCCCAATGGGTTCAAGATCTTCTCATGGACTTGGAGGATATCACTCGAGTTCGTGTCGACTTGCGTTTCCGTGGTGCTCAAGGCACAACTGGTACCCAAGCCTCTTTCATGGAAATCTTCCACGGTGATGGCGAGAAGATCGACAAGCTCAATGAGTATCTCTGCTCCCAGGCTGGATTCCCATCTTGCTATTCCATCTCTACTCAGACCTACTCTCGCAAAGTTGACTTGAGAGTCGCCAATGCCCTCGCTTCCCTCGGTGCTACGGTTCAAAAGATCACCAGTGATATTCGGTAAGCGGACTGTCAACACTCCCATTTGAATTATGCTAACGCCTCTGCTTATAGTCACTTGGCTAACCGCAAGGAGTTGGAGGAGCCTTTCGAGAAGAATCAAATCGGATCATCTGCCATGGCCTACAAGCGTAACCCAATGCGCTGCGAGAGAATTGCTGGTCTCGGCCGTTTCCTCGCCAATGAGAACAAGATTGCTAGTGATACCTTCGCTGCTCAAGTATGTCATCCCTTCCAATATATGAAACCACGCGCATACTAATGAAGCCCTTGATAGTGGATGGAACGCACCCTCGATGACTCCGCCATTCGTCGCATCATGATTCCCGAGATGTTCCTCAGTGCCGATGCAATTTGCATGACCCTCGATAACGTCGTTAGCGGTCTCGTCGTCTACCCTGCCCGTATCCACTCTGCCGTTATGGAGGGTATGTTACCATATCTTACGACTTGCAATCTTTGTTCAAAAACTGACTCTCAACAGAGCTCCCATTCATGGCTACCGAAAACGTTATCATGAAGCTTGTTGCCCTTGGCAAGTCTCGCCAGGAGGCTCACGGTACGCCCACTCCTCTCCTTTCCCTGCTCCAAAGTACTAGGCTAACGATACATAGAGGAGATCCGCGTTCTAAGCCACCAGGCTAGTGATGTCGTCAAGAAGCAAGGCGGTAAGAACGACTTGATCGAGCGCATTAAGAAGACCGAATTCTTCCAGGTATGTAATCTTCCGCCTTCTTCCCAGTCCACACGAAAACAAACATAAACTAATACATCTTCCAACAGCCTGTCTGGGCAGAGATCGACTCCATGCTTGACCCCAAGAACTTCATTGGCCGCTGCCCTGAGCAAGTCACCCGCTTCTGCGGTGCTGGCGGAGAGGTCGAGAAGGCCTTGGAGCCATTCAAGAAGCATATTGAGAATAGCAAGGCTGTTGAGCTGAACCTTTAAGTTTATCCTACTTTGCTCTCTTCTCTTCTCGAACCTCCGATTCTCGAATCCTTTCTAGGGATAAAAATGGCGTTTCAGGCAATACCTTGTGTAGCATTTTCGCTTAGGCATTTTCACACTGAGCTGGCGTTTTTTGAATTTGGATGGATGGATGAATGAATACTGGATGAAATGAATTTGGTGACGAATGATACCCAGCTACTCTTGATAGATGATTTGACGCGTTTTCAAACGGTCGGTTCACTAAACCTAGACAGAGATGATGGAATGATGGAATGAATGATGTTATATGCAACATGAATTAGAAAAATACTTCCTTGCTTTTTACCTTAAGCGAATGTGATATAGCCTGTCTTGCCATCAATTCTGCACAAGCTAGACGCCCTAAAATCGCTGACAAGGAAGGGTATTGATGAAATAGGCAGGCACGATGGAGACGAAGATGAAGGGGGTTTGTAATCCTACTCAAAAGAATGAACAACAGATCGTGCCTTCCCTTTTCACACTCTAGCTCATGTCTCATCTCCCCATATCTCAGACTTCAATGCAAGAGTGATCTTGAAGTCTGAGGTGACTTGGGTCGAGCCTGCCCCAACGAAATTTTTCGAAGACGAACTGACAATACCAATGCCGATTTCACGGTAGAGTGGCTCCTTCCCTTTCCTCTGATCTGGGTAGTAGGATCCTTGAGTGGGCAAGTTAGGTCGATGCTATGATGGATTCTTTTTTGGTGGTTACCTAGGATTGCGGGTTAAGGCTCTCTTGTTGGGATGAGGGGATAGACGAATTAGGGTTGGATGGGGTGGGTGTCTTGGATGTGATGGTCTTACCTCTCTTGATGTTTGGTTTATTGCTTACCTACTGTAAGTGCTATGGTGGTATTACTTGTTTTAAGTTATTGCTCGAGGGACTTGGAGCAGAGGGGAGCAGAGAAAGGAAGATGGAAAAATAAAAGAATGAGGAAACAGGGGTGGGCGTAGGGGTGGGAGAGGGGAATAGAGGTAGAAACTGGGAGGAACTAGGGGGCTGGGGGGGGGAGGAAGGAGGTAGGATGGATGGATGGATGGATGGATGGATAAATACTCCTTCCTTCTTCCATCCTTTCAATTCCTCTCTTCTCTAGCTTAAAGCTAATCAGTTGATAAGGAAGGTAACCTTACAGTACAGGAGATCAGGAAAGTTGGAAAATTTTGGAGAGAAGGGTTGATAGTCGAGAGATATAGGTACTCTATAGGTAGGTTACATGTACCTACCTACCAACCAATATAAAAAATCTCTTCTCCTCTCCTCTCCTCTTCTTAGTAATAACCCCCCTTTGAAGTATCAACTCAATAAATCAACTCAAATAACCCCACAACCTCCCAATCCTACAGTAATTCCTCTACCTTCCCTATATATGAATGTGTTTTTATACCAACGCCTACGAGGCTACGAAAAGCTCCCGATTCATGATCATGATCCCATTCCATTGTATCTTAAATCTCATTAAAGGAAAAAAAAAAGGAAAAACTATAAATCACCACCCACTTTACGGACATCCAAAGGTACCCTAGCTAGCTACCTAACCAGGTAGGCGATTCACCGCCCACCAACATTTCTATCAACAAAACGCTCCTCCTCCTCTCTATTCTCGCCTAATAAAGCTCTCTCCTCACCCCTCGGAGTAGTAGATCCACTTTCATGCACTCTCCTCCCTTCAATAACCTCCGCCAGCTTAACACCCTCCAGCTTCCCCCTCTCCACATCCACGAAATAAAGTAGCGGCGCCGGTAACCCAACAAGTACCGCCAGAAACCAGAATGCAGGTCGTATCCCCCCAGTTCTATCAACGATAGCGCCCACAATCGCAGGGCCAAAGATGGAGGAGCCTTTGTCGGTAATCGCGTAGAGGGCGTAGAAAGCAGCTTCCGAGCCTGGGGGTATGAGTTCACCGTACAGGGAACGACAGTATGATGATAAACCACCGAGGACGAATCCGTAAACGAAACCTAAGGGGTACATTTCCCAGGGTTGTTGAAGGCCTATGACACCCCAGTTTTGGACAAAGGGGAGGTAGCCGAGGAGTCCGTAGATAGGGATGATTTCAAAGATGAAAATACATGCCATGATTGTTTGGTGAGGTCGTAGGCCGAATGTACGGGAGATGGCGGACCAGGAGAAGGCTCCTATTACGCCGGCTGTTGTGCCAATTACGTTGATGAGACCTAAGGCTGCTGGGGGCATGTGGAGTTCTGTTTTGGCGTACAGAACTGCGGTTCCTGATACAGTTGCGATCGCGTCAGAGAGTAGGAACCATGCGGCGAGGAAGAGGATGATGTCTTTAAGTCGTCGGGCCAGTTTGACGGTTCGCCAGAGGGAACTCCATGCGTAGGTAAAATATGCGAGCCAGGTTCTCGAAGCGTTGGGATCATCCGGATTATGTGATCTTAGTGGAGGACCTGGACGGGGTCTTAACCAGACCGCTGCGGGAAATGTAAAGATAAACCACCATGCTCCTATCAGAAATAGCACTACGCGTAAAGATAAAGTTGTACTTTTCATAAAGTAAACAATGATTATACAAACGCATTGTAAAAAGAGACCCGCACAATAGCCAATTCCAATGCCTGTAGAAGATATCTGGGTAGAGAGCTCCAGTTCAACAGAGGTGGTACTAGCTTTGGGTTTGGAGGATGGTAAAAGAGCAGCTGTAGAGTCGACTATATGATTCCCGTTCATATTCCCATTCAACGGCTGCTCTTCATGAGCTCGATCCAAGAAGTCATCTGATTGCAATTCTGGAGTAGCAGTCTGAGATGCGTATTGTGTTTTGGGGTGGTGCCGAACCAGGAGAGGCAGAAACGAGTTGAGGAGTACAAAACTCGCGCCAAAACATGTATTCGATATCATAGCTAACACGGCCCCTAACAAGTAGACCTTTGGAACGATGGGAAGAAATAGCATTGTTGCTATAGAGCCAGCAAATGCAAAGAATAGCAGTAAGCGCTTGCGATAGTTGCCATGATCCGCGGCGCAACTTATAGACACTACCAACAGAGCTTGGAATAGTACACTCAGGGAGAAGGTGTACATGGCAAAACTGGCGGTATTTATTTGCATGCCTAGAATGAATACCACGCATTGCCCTTTATCTGCAGATGTGCCTGGGAGGTTTCCTGGGGCGTGGGAGCTGGATCCACATGGTTGGGTTGGATCGCTCACTAGGACACCGTTTTCACGGGCTAGTTGTTCGAGGGTAATGGGAATGAAGGAGCCTGGTATTTGGGATTAGCAGATGATAGTACAATAGAGTTACTTCTTCCGCCAGCTAATGGCTTGCGAATGTTCTTGAAAGTTGAAGTTGGAGCTGAAGCTGAAGCTAGTGACAGCTATACTTGTACTACTTTGTGTTGAGAGTTGAGAGTTGAGATATTGAATAACTCACCCATCCCACATATCACATAGACCTCTGCAGCAAAAGCATACGCATACCACCCATTCAACTCCTTCTTACTCGTCAAACGAGTATCTTCGCCCTCATATTGTGACGGATCATCGCGACATCCCGAGGCTGCATCGCCGGGCCCCATGCTATCGTCGTCGTTGGAGCTCGACCGCTCGTCATCGGCTTCGAAGGAAGAAGAATAAGAATGCGTGGACCGTTTGGCGCTATTGGAGGAGCGGGCACGAGGGGAATAGAAGTTGGGTGAGGGTTGCTGCAGATGTTGCTGGTACTGGAACTCTTGACGAGGCACCATCGGAAGGGGTTCAGGGTGTCCAACTTGACCACTCAGCGAGGCTGAGGCAGCACAATGTTACCCGACTGGGGGGGTTACTGGCTGGAACTTTAGTCTGAGGCCGCATGCACGTTGGCGACCATTATCTGCTGACGGCTATGGCCAGGGCATCATTTGGTCGAGAAAGAGTAGGTATTTAAATGCGGTGGATGGGGATGGGGATGGCTATGGGATGGGTATGAATGACTCTGAAAGAGGAGAAGGCGATGGTGGAGGCAAGAAAGAGATAGAGAGCGGAGCTGTTGATATGATACCGATAGCAAGATCTTGACCAGGGGCAGCAGCAGCGTCACTCACTCACGGCACCCGCGCCATCCCATGAAAAGTGATGGTGATGATGGAGAGAACCCACCACCTGAAAGCTGCTACTATTGTTGTGCGGTAGACTCTACCTACTAACCTGGAAGGTATGTATGTTTTGGTGGTAGAGGACCGATCTGATGCTACGAAAGTGTATTCATGGACACTTTGCTCGTGCATGGCCCCCGCTCTGAGGATATACCTATACATATACCTATACATATACCTACATAGGTATACATATACCTATACATAGGTAGTTGGACCTCTCTTTGCAAGCTGCACTGAAGAGCAGGTACCTTCTCTGGTTGCACTGCACACGGCATACAGCCTGTGGCGCCGTGGGTGGATCGTGAATACCATGATATCCAAGTCCTTCCCTTGGAAAAGGTTGGAGGTGAAAGGCTGGTAGGGTACTGTTGCTGGCAGCTTCAACTTCTGAGGTTCATGACATCCGTACAGCTGTGGTGGTCACTGGCAATGCTCCCGTCGTTGAAGGCCAACTCCGATGGGGAGAAGCGAGAAGCCGCCCTGAAGACGAATAGGCCAAGCAGAATGAGAGTGCTTGGTTCAAATAGCAGAAGGGTGAAGATATATTTATATCATTATTTCTAAGAGACTGAACATTCACGGATGATTTGTAGCTGAGATAAAGCTTTATATAAGATATCCAAATCAAGACTTTGACTATCACTCGGCGATGAGTAGCTTCAGCTTGAGGTAGCCTTTACCTCCGTAGGTAGGTAGGTACGGGTAGCCTTAGGTTGGTGCCTCAGGTTGGTGCCTCAGGTTGGTGCCTCAGGTTGGTGCCTCAGGGCAGCTGGAATGGAGCAGCCCTCGCAGCGCAACTGCAGGTGAATGGATGGTTAAATATCGGCGACCAATCCCATGGGGCCCGGGGTGAAAGGGCCCCACAATGAGATTTTAGCTTAGGCTCAGGCTCGGGCTCACTTCCGCCGCCGCGCAAGAGTAAGGTGCTAAGGTGCTAAGGTTCCCTTTCAAGAAAGAACAACCTGAGCCGCCAACACACTACAACCACTCCCAGTCAACCTAGCCATCCGACTTCCTCACACCACAAAACCAAAACCGATCCCACCACTACCATCCCACCACTTCAACCCTCCTACCCGCACTCTATTAGGGTTGTCGCCTGCTTGCCCTCGCCAGATCGGTCTGTAAAATATTCCCTCCCGCCGCGATCCCAGCCCCAGCCACTCGTTCTTTCATGCAAGGCCGCGCTCTGCAGCATTCTCAATCGCCCGATCCTGTTGCGCCGTCCCCTCGACGAGTGCGCTGATCGAGTCGCAAGACGTAACGAGGATCCTCTCCGTAGCTTTGCGCTCATGGTCGCTGGCCACAGCGGATAGCGCATGCGATCTTGCTTAGACGTCTTCATCTTCAACTCGCATCTTGGTTCCGCCGCCACCAGCCAAGATAGAGTCGACGGAGCGGAGAAAAGCTGGAGAGGGGGTCGCTTGGGGTTCTCAGAAGGGGGCAGAGCGGTTGGCAGGACCTCGAGACGGAGAGAGCATGCCTGGAGTCATAATGGAGAATCGGAGTCGGAATGGACCGCATACGAATCATGACAGAGATCAACGGCCGAATGGACTCAATGGAGCGGGATATGCCTCGGAAAAGGGATTGGACAAAGGAAAGGGTCGAGCAGAGCCACTGCAGAATGTGACGCCAATAAGTCCAACCATACCCAATGGAATAAATGGTGCATATTTGCCAGGCTCGCGACAGCAACGAGGAGACGATGTCATCCCGAGCGATGCTCAAGCCATGATTGATCAATTGCCGCCCGAGATTGCCCATATCACACAAGGCTATGAGCCTCTCTCCAAGTTGCTCTCGCGAATGGCGCAAAAGACACATAATGATCAGAAACGAACCATTATGGAATTGCAACAAATGCCAGCGCCGGCCACGGGAAGCCTAGGAGCGACGGATGATAACAGTGAGGAGAATATCAAGAAAAAACTGAAAGTTTTGAAATTTGCCCAGGATGCACACACAGACTGGACAAAGGCTCTCGTTATCACGAGCTGGAGTCGGAGGAGCGATGATGTGAGCAAGCTGATTGATCTGAAAATACATTTGGATGGGAAAAAACAACTCTACGAACACGCCTTATTTGAGTTGGGTGAAGTAAAAAGAAGCTTGATGCCCGCGCGACTACCGAACCCCGATTTGAAAACTGGTCTGGAGGTTCTTACCACCGGAAAAGCACCATGGATGCCAGATGTGCGTATACTGTAAAATCATTCTTGACCATACTAACAGAATTAGCTTGGATATCTTGAACCGCCCCCCTTGACAGCCAAGGAAATCCTCAAATCTTTTGAAAATCTGAACACTCTTCTCTCCATCCGAATGAATTTGCATGAATACGATAATCTACCCGTACAATTTCGAGATTACACCATTCAATCGGGTCGTGTGACCTTCAAAGTAGAAGGAGAGTTTGAGGTGGATCTCGCAATAGCTGACGAGAACCCGGAGGAACAATTGTGGTTCATTGACTTTAGATTTCTATTTTCGCCGACGGTATCAGAGATACCCTTTGCCGCACGCTCGTACATTGAAAGTCGGGTCAACGAAGCTCTCCACAAGAATGGTCTGAAGGGATGCTACACCTTTCTACACAACTTTGTTCTTACTCACCAGATTAGCGAGTTTAAGAGACAGGCACTAGCCCTATCGAGCAGCAAATGGGTAGAGGGCTTGAAGGTGGAACCCCTGCATCGCGCTTTATGCATACAGTATTGGGTCGGCAGATATGGTCCCAAGGGTCCCAAAAGTTGGATTATTCTTGGGGTTCATAGTGGAAAGCGGAAGGATCGCGTACCGCATCCAAAAGATACACCTCGATTGTGCCTGAGATGGTTCCGAGATCAGAAAGAAGTCAAAGATGTGGATTTCGCTTTTGACACTGTTAATATCTCAGCCGAATCACTTCTCAAAACAATCATTGCGAAGCACGTGGAACATATCTTGGTATCAACCTACGAACACATGATGGCGAAACCTCTGTTTGCCAAGGGCGAGGCAGATCTCTCGTTGAAGATCTCGGCAAGGGAACCTGCGGAATCCAAATTAGGCGTACAGTTGACAAGTGAGCGAACTGTCTCGATTCGCATTGAACCTGTCACTGGCCGGTTTGTTTTACATCCTGCGAGTCGCTTGGTGTACCCCTCCGAAATGAAGCTCAACGACGAAAAAGACCCGGCCGAAAATGCCCATAACCGTATTGATCAGCTTAGATACGAGGCCATCATGGACCACATAGATAGTCGTGGATGGAGTGTTGGTTGGCGAAGAACTGGTAACCCGAGCGTTCCAAAAGATGACCTGCAAAAGGTTGTTCCTAAGTCCACCTCTCAGGTTCTCTGGTACATGAGAAATGGTTGGGTCAAGAACTGGTACCTTGCTGTTGCGTTGGGCCCCTATGGGGAGAGTTGGTTCTTGATTGAAACGTATGTTGTCTATGAGGCCAGGTACCAAACATTACTAACAACCATAATAGAACTGAACCAATGCAACCACCACCAATTCCAGGTACTTCAAAAAATACAGAGATCAAACCCATACGAAGAATAGCCAACCACATTGCCATTCCTATCAGGAACCCTACGCCACTTCCCACCTACAACTTCCTGAATACACTCCACGTATTTGCAGCTGCCCTTATCTCACATCACGCAAATCTCAAAGCAATCCATGACATGCGTGCCTGGTCCGCGCTTCAAAAATCCCGGAAGATCAAAGGCCCCATTCAGCTTCCAGCAATAGCGTTACGAATTTCTGACCTCATTGGGCCCCGCAAATGTGTCAAGGATCTGATTGAACTTAGAATCAACGGACTCCAGATTTTCCAACCCACAGAATCTGGGCTCGCAAACGCCCCGCCAGCGAATCAGCATTCACCAAATAGTGTTGCTCCACAAGGCCGAACGGATGAGAATCTTGTAATTATGACGGAAGCTCGTATCAAAATACCTCTGCCGCCCGCACTTAAAACCATGAAGGAGAAGATTGATCGAGACGTTGCCTTCCACGTGAGTACTGGAAGCGTATCTCTGCGGTTACGAAGCAAGATTGGAGAGTCGATCCTGCCTACTTTGACAAAAAGGACAATGCGGGTTTTCCGCTTAATCGAGTTTGTTAATGTGCTGCAAGCGCACGAAGAAAAGTTGACCTGCAAGAACATTTCACTGGGAAGGATTGAATTCACATATGGCAAATCGGCAGACTCACTGAATCTAGGCGAATCGCCAGCTCCTTATACAGCCGTAATCGACTTCAGTGGATCAGATGACAAGATGAGCCTTATTTTGGAACGCGGCAATCCACATCTCGAAATCGCCGACTATCTGAATCAAATACTCAATGGAAGTGAAGGTCTCAAGGGTGTGTCGACTATATTACCTCTTACGCTACCCGTTCTGAAAGCCTTGGATGCTATCAAAGCAACCTGGGCTTCTGTACCAAGCACCAAAGGCGAGGTATTCGTACTTTCTCGATCAGTAGATCGTCATCAAGTTCACTATGATCTTCTTCCGATCGCTACGGATCCGAACGCCTTTCCTCGTGGACGAAAGGTGAAATTCGAAGTTGTACTAAAACACCGCAATGGGGAATCCTGGTGGTACATCGCGCGGGTTCAAAATGAAGGCGCGGAGGACGATATTGACAAGATTTTGAAGCCCATCTGGAACTCGAGTGGTACGGGTTATCAAGGCATGAGAACGAGTGCTGTGGCGCAAACGACTGGTGTCGAGGAGCTTTTGGACAAACTTGACAAAATGGTTGGTCAATATGCCATCTCGCAAAAGCCGGCTCCGAAACCAATATTACCGCCTCAGAAAACGAGACCACAGATGCAGATTTCGATGCCGCCCCAAAGGGTTCAACAGATGGTTACGCCGAATAGCAGTCAGCAGAGTCAAAGTCAGAGTCAGGGACGGATGCAGAACCGAGAGGTGGTGGAAATTGATTAGAAGGGATATGATAGTGGGCCAGGAGTTGATACGATGATGAGCATTTTCGAGGTCTGGAATATTTACACCACAATAGCATTGAAAAAGGCGCGGGATGGGGAAACTTCTTTTATTTTCACTGGGAGGTTTTGATGGACCTTTCGATTGTTCTTTTACCCCTTTTTTTTCTTTCTCTTTGGGCTCGCGCTAAGGAATGGATACACTCCCACTTGGGATTTTACCGAGTTCATTTTTGGGATGGTGGTCAGTCTAATCGACTTTCTTCTCTTTGCGCTGGCGTTGTTGGGGAATTGGGGGATCAGTGAAGCTTCCTTGAGATCTTTTTTTGTTTCTTTTGCGTACGCTCTTGCTTGCTTTTTCTTTTCTTATAAAGGACTTAAAGTCCCAAAGCTGAGCTTCCCCCGCCTTTTCTCCCCCTTTTTTTATTTTCTTTTCAAATCTTCCCGTGGCCGGCCTTCCTTTGTGTTGGTGGGTCTTCTGTGTACTCTTCTTTTTCTTCTCTTGCTTTGATGCTTGGTTGATGGGGGGCGGTGATGAGATGGATGGATGGGAGGAGAATGTGGAAACGGGTTGGGGATGTGAGGAGAGGTGGGGTTGGAGGAAAGGGGCGAATGGAAAGGGATCTTGAGAGAAAGGGAGGAGGGTGGGTGCTGTGTGGTGATGGTGAGAGTGATGGTGCGGGCGATACCGCCGATGATACGATATGATATGATAGAGAAATTCTAAAAAGATTAAGTATATTGTACTGTATGATGTTTGACGCTTTGTGTGTGAGGTCTAGGAGGGAGTTGCGTGTGTGTGTCTTAGTTGTCTCTTTAGAAGAATGTTGGGAAGGGGGGGGGGGCGTTACGTGTTATGTAAGCGAGTGAGTACGAGTAAGGAGGTCGTATCACAGTACTGGAGAGTTATAGTAGGCTCATACTTCACTTCTCAGGTTTTCCATGCGTACAGTACTTGGAGAAGCGATTGCGGGTTTATATAAAGAAAGGTAGGTAGGTTAAGTACTTCATATTCAAAGAAGTATTTGATGATCGCCAAAATTATCTAATCCAGACAGGCCTTAAAACTATTGTTACTTTTCAATTCTTATTATACTAGGTAAAATAGGACAATCAAGTTACTTGTACCAGAGTTTTAATATATTAACTTTTGATAGCGTATACAGAGTAATGCTTGCCTCTCTTACTAGTATTCACTATACTCCTACCTACCTATTTACTGAGATTGGAATTCCATTTTGCTATAGAACCCCAGCGACCAATTAATAGAAGTATTCCATTCCATTTTATCGGTGCACTAGAAGTATTCCAGCTGGAATGGAATCCATGGAATTCTATGGAATCCGTTCCATTTGCCGATCGCTGCTAAAACGATACTTGTCGATACAAACCATATACTGCCCAATTTTCGACAGTCATCCTCAGATGCACTTACACTATTACCAGTAACCGCAGGGCTAACTCGTACCTACGTAACGCATCTCGGGTTGGACGTGTGCAACTATTATTTCGGGAACGGAACTTATGCATCTAATCGCCTGTACCACCAAATTGGGTGTACCTTGACAGCTTCCCATCCAAGAAATCTATCTACCTCGCTTTAAGCCCCCCATCAAATCGTTGAGTAGCAGTATGCCGTGGAGTAACCTCCTACCGTTCGTTGGTGTCTTGGTAGGCACTAGCCTCTTCTGCGTGATCCGCGTCACGTATCGTCATCGTTCGCATATCAATGACTTGCGCAAGCAGGGCTTCGTACGTCCCAGTCTTGAAATCAATTCCATCCGGTGATAGAGCTGACTCTTTGATAGCCCATGCCGAAGAATTGGAGCTGGATTACAGGTCACATCCTAGTGCTTTACAAATACCAAAAAAAATTCCCCCCATTAGCAAATGTCGCTCTCGCAACACAAGAACTATGTCGCAAGTTGCCAGACACGGAAATGTTTCTATTAGATCTTTGGTCTGCTTTCCCTGCATCACTGATGGTGTTTGATCCCGAAGCTGCGGTACTTGTATCGCAGAAGTATAATCTTCCGAAGTCTGATGCTAGTCTTGAGTTGCTTAAGCCGATTGTGGGAGGTCAGAGCTTACTTAGTATGAATGGCATGGAGTGGAAAACGTGGCGGGCTAGATTGAATCCTGGTTTTAACCCTACGACGTTGATGCAACATGTCCCATATATTGTGGATTGTATGGATGTGTTCTGTGAGAAATTGAGATGAACGGAGGGACGGATCTTTTCACTGGATGACTTCGCGAAACGACTAACCTTTGATGTTATTATGAAGATCTCTCTATTAGTACACAAAGGAATTAATCCTGACCGTAAGTGAAAAAAGCTGACATTGGAGACCTTTACAGTGATAGCGACATCAACTATCAGCTCTCCGAACATATAATCCCAAACGCAATCAACACCATCACAAGGTGGCATTCTTTCTGGGACATAAGAGTACTCATGAACCCTCTTCGACCCATCATTCAGAGCTATCACGGAAAGGTTCTTCGAAGATACATCCGCAAAGATCTCAATGCTCGTTTCGCCGAAGTGAAGAAAAAACGATTCTCTCTCTCTCCTCCTGATGTAGGTACGAAAGGGCCATCATCGGCCATTTCCCTCGCGATAGACGCATTCTTCCAAGAGAAGAAGATAGAAGAAGTTTCTGAGACGACGGAGTTGAATGAAGATTTTGCCGCTACAGTTTCGCACCAGATTCGACTCTTTCTTTTTGCGGGGACGGATACTACTTCGAGTACACTGGCTTTTGTTTATCACCTTCTGGCAAAACACCCCGAAGTCGTCTTTCGATTGAGAGAAGAGCATGATCAAGTATTTGGACCTGATCCCTCAAGTGTATCGAGTCTCTTGAAGGCAAAACCTACGTTGATAAATCAATGCCTGTACACATTAGCGGTAATCAAAGAAACATTGCGAATTTATCCACCCGCTACCAACTTACGGCAAGGAATCACCGGCGTCTCCCTCCCAGCCCTTAACGGACAACTCCTCCCAACCGAAGGTCTCTTCATCATCATAAACCACCAGGCTATCCACCAGAATCCCCGCGTATGGAAACGAGCCAATGAATTCCTCCCCGAACGTTGGCTAGTCTCATCAGACCACGAACTGTACCCCCCTGCTGGTGCATACCGTCCTTTCGACATCGGTTCTCGGGCTTGTATTGGTCAAACGTTGAGTTTGATCGAGATGCGGATTGCTTTGATTATGACTTGTCGGACTTTTGATTCGAAGCCTGCGTATGATGAGTGGGACCGGATTCGAGCTCGGAATGCGGGGTGGTGGACGAAGATTGATGGGATGCTTGGATTTGGGGTGATGAATGAGGTAAGAGGGGATAGGGCGTACCAGACGGAGAAGGCGGGGACGCATCCTTCGGATGGATATCCGTGTCGAGTTTCTCTTCTTGGTTGTGGGTTGTGAGTTTTGGCTTGGTTTGACATGGGCAAATTATAATCCATGGAGTCAGTTTATCAGTTCTTGAAAGATCAAGTAGTCTCGCCAATATGAATCAAGCTTTCTTACTCAGTTTGGACAAAACTTTTGAATTCAACAGCTTCAATATACAGTTATCTGATACTTTTACTAATAGAAGCGGCAAGAAATATCATATCCAATCCGCGAGTGGCATCAAGCGTTGAGCCAATTCGCTAAAGGACATCTGATTACTGTACATCAGCGTGAATTTTGGGCTGGTTTCCCAGCTTCAAGACTCAAAACAGAGGTTCTTTTAAAGACTATACACATGCCAGAATTCTCTGCTTGACTTTACCTCCTCTCTAATAAAACCCTGCAGTTTGTCCTCGGCAACCTCTCTCAAAGAGCGGTGGAACTGGAGCATACAATATGACTAGGATACCCATTATAATGGTAATCTTCACAATTCCTTAGTATGGCCCAGCTAGGTTGTTTTGGTGATGTTCATTGACAGTCTTTCTGCCAAACATATGTTGCGTATTTTCGAAACGAAACCTCTCCCATACACTTAAGTTTATACCCATAAGTTCCAATTTTTGAATATACCAGAGCTAGATACTTTAGCAACTTGATTGATCTCTCTGCCCATCAATAGGCGATATCAACTTAGAGTACTGAGGACGTGAATAGTACCCTCTTATACGGATCCTAGGCCTTACAGGTCTTACACTAACTTGTACCTCTTTATTGAAAAGGTTCCGGGAAAGACTTGAGCTATAGATAATCTAGGCCACAGAAACCCTATTTCTGGCTACTTTGCCTGAATCAATACATCTGATTTCCATTTTCTATCAGCCCTCAGGAAAGTCAAAATGTGCAAGTTTTGGGAGAGCTGAGTTAAGCGAGAAGATTTTCTTGAAATTCCAAACACTCAACGAGATTGTATCGAGATATTGAAGTGATTTTTGTCCCCAGAGGCATATTTCTGAGTTAGGAGAAGGTTCAATTATTCTCTACCAAACCCCAATCTAACAATCCTTCTACTAAGCTCCCCATAACCTTAATTCTCTGCGCCCCTGCTCTTGTTCTTCCTGACTGCTACGACATTGCTTTCAAAGCAAGTACCCATTAAGTTAGTGGTTGAGGACAGCCAAGATTCTCCATAGCCAACCCCAACTTCCGCGTGGCAAATTGAACAATCCCGAGCACAGGCGCAAGCACACCATTAAGTGACGAGGGTACCTGACCCGTAGCAATCTGGTACAAGAGACAAACAGTTCCCGATCCCGTACCTCCCAAGATACCATTCTGAATCGAGCCGTAACTGACCGTTTGGAACTCTCCCCCATCAATTCTGCCACCAAATAGCACTGGATATTTCAGATACAACGCCAGAGTCTCTTCAGCGACATCCACAACGGAGTAAGGCGGAACACGATTCGTCCAATTGTCAGGGATTCGTTCAGGTACTCCTTTGTAGGATCCATCACTTTGCTTCTCTGCGCCGAAGAAGGTGCTGATTGTGTACTCATCAGGAGCGTAGTTGCGAGTTCCGGAAGGCATCAACCCATACAGGAAAGAAGCGGCTCCAAAGAGCAAGAGGGCAAGAGGACCGAAGTAGAAGTTTGGGTTGTCCCTGACAGATTGTTGATATCGCTCATAGCGATATTTTGCAAGATTGTCGCGGTTATAAACACCGCCAGTCGACTCTTTCATCATCTTGTATAAGGTACCGTTGAAACTGAAGTTATCGCCGTGTCCAAGGAAGAAGTCGTTGCGAGTGAGCGAAGTGTCGGATTCGAATTTGTTGTGTCCATCCAGTCCAGGCTCGGGTCCTGTAAGAATGGGTGCGAATGATGTCCTCGAAGTAGCTTCACAGCCAATTGATAGCTTCTCAGTGACGATATCGCCATCTGTCAATGTCAAGCCTAGCACGGCAAGCACAACAGCAAGATCGTAACCAATGTTATAGAGATTTTGCTGGGCATCAACAAGCTCTTTGAATGTCGTGATGCCATCATGGGCCAAGAAATTGTGATTTGCAGCTGCATTCAATCCAGGGCAAGGACCTCGTATATCATTGGGACCTGGAGGAGTGTATTGGTGTGCTGTGTCTCCAGGTGCAGGAACCAGGTAACCACCCCTTCCATTTCCTGGAAGACCATCCTTTGCTCCGTTGTATGGGAATTGTGCTGATATTCCAGGTGCCGGAACGTGGTTTGGATTGAATGGACATGTTACGGGACCGCCTGGGTTACTTCCACCCGATTGTTGTCGCTTCAATATTGTCGAGTCTACATTGGGCATATTTGAGACGAATGGGTAAGACATGACAGAAGGTCCTAAAATGATAAGGGAGAACAGTATAAAAATCATATTGAAAACTGTTGTTGGTGCTGAATACTGTGAATAATTGTGCAGTGATCATAAAATAACAAAAGTCTGATACCAAACTAAATTCAAAGTCAGTCTACGAATGTACTTATTATATACTGTTAGGAAGTCTCCAACTGATCTGCGATATCTCGTGAAGGAAAATGACAAATTTTGGACCCAAGGAACTGGTACTACCGTCCCAGCGGGCCTTTTCATCCCTCCCACACGCATACGGTACACAACCGAACGCCGGCATGCTGTTAGAATCCCATGGTAGCTAATTGAGTGGATGGGACGCCCTTACACAGAGCTCGGGATTAGGCAATTCCGAGAATAGGCGAAGCCGACTCAGCTGTCAGATACCCATGAGAGAGGTGAGGCGTAAATCTCACACCAATTAAGTTGTCTAATGGTCGATATTGAAATTCATAACTTGCTCGCCACGAGCTGGAACTTGATCATTTTTACATATGGGTGTAACAAAGACGTCATGGTATCGATGATAGATAATAACTAGGCTCGATGTGTAACTCTACCGTTCGATTGAAGTGAGTATTGCAGTGTTCCCGGAATCAGGTGTTGAAATTGTTGATTGTCTAGGCAGCCTCTTCGGGTCAAAACTTCCTGCTTAGTTCCTTCTATATCACACCTATTCTCGCACCTTTTAAACACCAAATCTTAACGACATGACTACAAAGATATATGGATACTACTAGAAATATAGATGAGTTAATTCTACGTCTACCAGTATTCTTTATATATTTTTTCGAATTTTGTAGAGTAAGAAATCTGTTATTTATAATAGTGCTTCCTCGGTACGAATATGGATGTTGTTTTCAGGACACGAAGAAGCAGCTTCTAGAAGCCCCAAATTAGGCGATTTAAGCACTCACAATTAGCGAAAGGTTGATGAAATGGATCTACACGTCCACTTATAGCTTGGCACGCAGAAGAGTTTTCACTGTATATGAGCGAGTCCGCTCTGCACTACTTGTTCCAGTTCAACAGGTAGAGAGACCGGTGCGAATTATCCGGCATTTTTGTTTTTGAGGATACACTTTTTAAAGATTCACTCGTTTTCGTACCAAATAGTCGCCATGGAGGCCGATAACTATAAGGGTATCAAGCTCACTTAAGCTGACGATTTTGAGATGTGGAAAGTCTCAATCACTAAGAATCTCACCAAGCACAAGCAGAGTATATGGATTGAGACTGAGTATACGAACAAAAGCGCGGACACAGACGGCGAACAGAAAGAAGAGAAAGACTCCCGTGGAGAGAAGGAGGACAAGGCGAGGGTGTCCTACAGAATCCGCCAGAGCATGGACTCGGCGCACCAGATGGTGATTGCTTTCATGTCCGATCCCTGGGAGCAATACAACACCATGATAAAGCGGTATGAGGGCAACAAGCAAGTGCGGTATGAGGGTAACAACGAAGTGCGGTATGAGTGTAACAACGAGGCCCGGCACTACAATCTCTGTTCGAGATTCTTCGGAATTTTGGATCAAAATACAATGTCGATACAGGACAAGTTGGATCTAATGAACCGATTGAGAAGTCAGATGATGACTCTTCAACCACACAACGAAGTAGGGAATTGGATACTCATTTGCCTGATCAAAGCAAGTGTGGACCAAGAACAATTCAAAATCACGCTGGAGGTTATACGCTGGAGCACGATCGAGCTATCCCTTGATGAGGTGATCGCCCGCCTGAAGGCTCGAGAGACCGAGCTGGGAAACGAAGGAATTTATTCTAACACTGCAAAATGGGCGGGACGAGGTCGTGGAGGCTTTCAAGGTCGGGGGAGAGGTGGACGACAGGGGAGAGTCCCACGCGGAGAGAATTCCAACTTCTCTTCTGGAAGATATCACCGAACGCGAGGTTGATCGCTGGCGGAGGTTGTTTGGTATAATTCTTGCCTTCCAGTTCGGCTGCGGGTATTCGTAACCTGATAACTCTTTGGGCACTAATCCCTCTTATCTTTCAAGAGGTTGAATACCGGAGCTTGAAAACCGAACTTGGTTACCGGCATACTAAAAGGCTTAAAGAATGAGATAACTCTTCTTTGAGGAATCTACGTGGGGAAGTATCAGTGCCTACCAGGAAGTGCCTCAGCCAAAATAAAAGAATTCTTCCCGAGACAGATCTCCATACTCTGAAGCCCATCTCCAACTCAAGTAAAAGATTCACAATTATCTCCTTATTCGTCCTCAAGACTTTCTCTTCCTCAGCATTATAAACTAAACACCCCATCACACTAAAGACACAACTAAATTATTCCCACCACAGGTCCACAGAATTAAACATGCCTAACTCACTTCAAACTCATGAAACAGACCTAATAATTTCCCAATTCACTTTCCAAAAAAAGGAGTACCATAAACACTAGCGATGATTGGCCTATAATCAAGCACTTATCAAAAGACATGAGCTACAAGTAGTACCGTTATTTTCGCTTAATCTCCCTTGTAAACATCAGAGGATAGGTGAAAACTCGCACTCTTATGTGATCCACAAGTATTCAGCCTCACAGTACCACTTTCCCTGCAGACAGAACAATTTTGTTTTAACCAATCAGACCATATTTTCCAGGTAATCAAGACCCCCTTAAAACCCCCTAGTTTTGCGCCACTTTCAACAGCACATTTTGTCCAACATATCCTCTCACGTCTGGAAGGCTTTACTTACCTCACAACATTCTTTCCAAATCTTTTAGCTATGCTATTTTCGGAATATTTCTTGAATACAGTATACTTCCCAGTTCTAGAAAAGAATAGTGGTGATGTTTATCTTTTGTGTCGGAGTTTAAATTTTCCAGATATGGCTTCTACCCTGGTACGTAGAAATTGAAAACGCGGTGAATCTCTGTAAGAACTTCTCTACAAATCGGTGCTAAGCACATTCAAAAATAACCTCATTCCACACCTCTCACTCTCCAATCTCCTCATTCCCCCTTCCCCAAAAACCAAAAGTAAATCACGCCTCATCCGACCACCTACCCACCTACCCATCATCACAAACCCCCCTCCCCACCAACCAAATCCCTCGGCCAAAGCGTATCCCTCTCACATCCCCTCCCACAAACCCCCAACATAACCCCAACAAGCACCTCAACATGTACCTCGGGCACATCCCCAAAGGCCGCAAAAACCGGCCGCATCGCCTCATTAACCCCCTCTCGTCCAGGGCCCCCAATCCCAGCCGGTTTAGTAATCGTAACCTCTACACCCTCATTTTCTTTCGCGAAGTCCAGGATCTGAGCTTCGGTACGGCCCTGTGGGTCGAGCGTTATGTTATGAGTGAAGTTGTGTGGGAAGGGCTGAAGGGAGAGGAAGGGGAAGGAGGGAGAATGGAAAGGGACATACACTCATCCTCCGATACTCCTTCAAGAAAGCAAGTTCCTTATTCTGATCACGCTCAATCGTAACCCCAGAGGTATACACAAACCTGAACGGCCTCTTCACACACTCCACCATATTCCTCAATCCATGGATAGTAAAGAGCCGTCCAATCTTCATGAACAACCGACCTCAACTTTCTCGTGCCATCCCCAGAATCTTGGAGAGGATCTACATGTTTCCTAGCAAGAGCGATGATCTCTGTGATTTCCGGGTTGCGAAGCGCTTGCCGGAGCACCTCGGTGCCTACGAATCCGGTGGCGCCTGTGACTATGAGTTTCATGGTTTATTGAAGGAGTTTTTTGCTAATGGTGTGGGTTTTGGTGATTGTATTGTCTGTCTGTGACGAGAAGTTGGTTCTGAACTTTAAAAATGGGGTTGGCGGGAGTGGCTTCACTGGTAAAAGTAGGGTGTGAGTGACATCTGTGTTGGACTAACTTGTTGGAATTCTGTTGGTACAGTACTACTCTTGCTACTTAGCCAATCAAGTTCAAAAAACCTCAAAGTCATTATCTGGCTGTAGCAACTCTTATGGCAAAAAACCCAGTTTGAACTAATGGTTTTGGCGGAGGGAGCTGTCAAGGACTACCACCCTCAGAAATGCCTCGCTAAGCGTCAGGGGACAAAGATCCAGCGCAAAAAAAAATAACTTCATAAAAACATAAATTTACGTCAACGCATACTACGACGAAGCAATGATATACACCTAGCCCATTAAACGTCCGCTCTCCTATCATCAAACGTAGGGTTCTTGTAAACTCCTACGCCACCTCTGTAAAAATCAATTTCCCCAAACCGCCTGATCCTACAACACCGTACATCTCCACGCACCACAAGGTAATCATCTAAGCGACGACTTGCGATCTCGTCGTCTCAACCTCACTAGGGGCATAACTTCCAGGAGGCAGACCAGTAGTGACCGAAGTATCGCTACTAACACGGCTTCCATCCGGTCCGACACCCGTCTCCTCTGTATGATGTTCCTCCCCCAATTCCGATTCTGGGACTTGGTTGTGGTGACCTGAAAATAAGTTATTATGCAGATGAGCATTGGAACTGACGTCTGCCAACTCTGGCTGCCAATCCTTGAGATCATCTTCCGCATCATTCAGAATCTGCCGTGCTTGATTGGTGTGCTCGTACGCTCCACGGACGTCCCCAGGAATCACGGGCGTATCGTCGAGAAGGTTAAGAAGACGACGACCATGACGAGCAAGAATAATTTGCTTCTCAGCACGTTCGATGGTGGCCGCAAATTCCGCAGCATAAGCTTCCTTCATCTTTTGACGGGTCTATAGAAGGTCAGTACATACGTTTCCACCAAGCGAACAACTCACGATATTCGTTAACTGTGCTTCCGCGACCAGGTTCTCTGCCTCAGCACGAACAAGTTCCTGCTCCAGAATTACCAATTTCGCACTCTCCGGTTCCTTTGACTTCAACTTTGCAATCTCATCCGTCAATTTCGTCTTGTGGTCTCTACTTGGCTGAACACTCTTCTCCGTATTCCGAATGGCCTTCAAAATCGCCCTGCTATCGTCCAAGTTATGAGCATACAAATCCTCCAGCTCTCCCAATTCCGAGAGCAGCACGCCAATCTTATCCGACACATCACTTATAGCATCATCCGACGTCGCCTCACCCCAATCCGAAAGCTGCGTGGCTATGGAAAGCCGTTCCTTGCCCGCACTCTCGTAGCATTGGATGAGGTGGTTCTCGGATTTGATCAATTTGTAGAGTCTCTTGCTCAACTCGGGCTGGACAGTTCCACGGAGGGAGCTCAAAGAAAAGCCATGGCGCGCCGGTGTTGCGGACTCGTTCTTGCTCTTGTTGGAGCGGATGGAGAGTGCGCGATTCCTGAATCGATAGGTCTTGTCAGTATGAAGGTTTTTAGTTGGAAGTGGGGACAATGCTTGCAGATGGCTCAAACCCGACTTGCTGGCTTTATCAGAGTTTCTCTTGGAATTGCTGCGTCGCATGGTGATGGGTGGAAGATTTCACAAACAGGGTGGATAAAATTAGGTTGACTTACATGATGATTTCTGGGGAGAATCTTATCTGGTTGGATCAAAGGGGGACTTTCTGGAGGTAGCTGTTAGTTCTTTCCTGTACTCGTACTATGAATGTTTTTGCGCTCGTCGTTGCAGCTTCCCCATCAACCCCGCCATTTCCCTAAACTCCCTTGCAACCGTGACGTCATTTCTGAGGTGGTGAACGTACCTAGTAAACACTCGAATAGTGAGATTTCTGGTGTTTTGAGTATTGCGGGTGGAGAAGTAAGAGAATAGATTTTAATCAAGGTCAGGATATATGCAGGCAGGCAGTGCGTTTGTTCTCTCCAGGTTATGGTGGTCTTGGTGTTGTGTTTCTGCTCTAGCTTCATCGTAGTCTAGCGATGACGTAGTCGGCTAGTTGGTGACAAAGGTATTGGGGATGGGGATACGAGTATTCAAAGGGGAAGGGAATAAGGGTCCAACACAATATACAAGAACTTTACAGGAATGGATAGATCTCTATGAACGGTCGTCTAATGATTTTTTAAAAATGTTGAGGCATATTTGAAAGGGGCTGCACCATCATAAGCATCAACAATTTGGTACTTATGAGAAAAAGCAACGCTCAATTAACCACAGTATAACATGCTGTAGCAGCCCAAAAGCAATGATGCCCAACCAAACCCGAACCCCCAAAACTCCATTCCATATCGCATCTTAACATCATAAAAGCATCATAAAAGTAGCATTTCCCCATCCCCCATTCGTACCCACCCCTATCCTAGCCTTCAATGCGATAAAGTACCACTAAACCCAACTCCTTCGCAACGCTCCGATTTCTCCCAGAAACTACCGGTAGGATCTCTGGCTTCGCCTTTGTTCCACTACGACTGGGACACTTCGACGATAACTGCTCTGGCTGACACGAGGCGATCTCGTGGTCCTAGTCACAGAGGTATAGGATGCTCGAGGGTGGCTATGGTGGTGTCCATGATGTCCGTGGTGGTGGGAGTGATGAGAGTGGTGGGAGTGTCGGGAGACTGGTCGAGGTGCGACGACGACTTCCTCGACGTAGTGATGTCGTCGCTTGGGAGTAGAGAAGAGACACATTATGTTTGTATTTGAGGCTGTTTAAACAGTCTTGATGTAGAAGCAGGAGTTGGTGTGGAGAAGTAGATAGCTTTCTTTGAGCGTTGTTGGTTGTTGGAGACGGAAGAGTTGGAGCGAGTTGGAGGAACACCAAGACTCGACAAGAGGGGATGTCTATATTTATATAGCCAGGTATCAAAGATTCACCCCATCGCAAACTCCAACTGACAGCAGGCTCCAGGGTTGTTTCATCCCTAAGCCTCCGTATGGCACGCAAAACAGGTATTAACTTCTCTCGAAGGAGAGATATCCGGTGCTGTGCCCCTTGTAAGAACCCCTGCAAGCGAGCAACTTAACTTGGCAAATGGCCATCTATTCCAACCCTCCTCAATCTTTCCACAACACGCCCGACCTCAACTTGAGAATCATATCCCGGTCGCCCAAGAGACATGGGAGAGGCTGTCAAATATCGTACCGAGTACTCAATGAGCCATGTGGAGGCTGAGTCCTGACAGCGGCTTCGAAGAGCCTCAACTCATAGCGTCTTACTCCTCACCGAAGATCGTGATTTCTCGATAGAGTTCTTATTATTAAGACGAAGTTTGGTTGCCTAGAACAGAATTCGCCAGCTTAATGTAAGCGTATTGCTCACCAAGCATCTCTAAGGACTAAAACAGTAAAAGAGACATGCTCCATTGCGCATAACTCTAACAATAGATTTGGAACGCTTGCGCCGACTTGTGGGGATCAAAATACCGTGTGCAACCTCTTCTGGGAAAAAAGAGTGGAAGATAGGACGAGTTTGGTAAAGCAGGTCTGCTGTGGTGTTGTCAAAGCAAATATATTTCAGCAGCCCTCGCAGATCCGATGTCATCGCGCAGCTAGTTGGCATTGTCACCTGACTTGACGGAAATGGTGGGGGTTTCGTTTTGACATTGATTTAGATACCACTTTCACAATTGTGAAACCATCTGCTAACAAGAAAGGTATTGTAGCTCTCCATACCCAAGTGCACCTGCAAACGTAGCTTATCACATCACGTGACTAGTCCCAAGTGAAGTGAGGTGGCCCAATACAACATGGAAGGCTGGTGTAATCCTTCTATTAGCATTTGCTTCCAGTATCTAAGAGCATCAGGTCGAGTCTTGATTCCGTCAAGACTTAATGACAGAGCAGGATTAACAGAAAAAGAAAACATTAACCCCCCGAGTCCTTCTACCGAAAATAAGCGAGAAAATGCTCTCAGCCTCTCGAGTATTACTTCTATTAACCTCGCTCCAATGCGTATGGCTTCTTATTACTTAGGCAAACCGGCACACTCTTTTACTTCCTATGATCATCATTCATAGGTATACACAGAATGACGAGAAAAAGTCACAAATTACTCAAGCACAACAAACCAATCACCACCACTCCCCTCTTACAAAGATCCAATGATTCACAACCCAACAACACATCGCCCAATTCAAACCACAGTCCCAACTATAAATACCACCTTCCCTTCCTCACTCCTTCCACCTTCACCATTCTCTCCTCACCCATCAAAATCCCAACACAATACACCACCCCAACCAAACACCCCCCAAAAAAGAAAAAAGAATGTGCATCCAAATCATAGACCGCTTCTACGACTGTCACCACGACGGACTAACCAACCCAGAACTAAACTACATAGACCGCAATTTCTGCTTAACAAGACCGTGTCACAACCCCGCCGTAGAAGAAAAATGGTTCCAAGGTCCTTGTTTCCAATGTCTCGACAAAAGACCACCAAAGGGCAAGAAGATCGTCGATTGAGTTAAAGTATCTCCCTCTCTCCCTTCCCTTCCCTTTTCTCCTAAGATCAAAATCCCACAATCCTCCAAACGATTTGAAAGACAAAAGCCTAACACCCCAAGCACATAACCATCTCCACACCCTGCAACCACGAACACTCACCCCACCCCGTCGAGGGGCTAGAACGATACGAAAGCGAAGAAAACCTCATCCTCGTCACCCCCTCAAACGACCCCTGTCCCTCCTGCAAACCATACGGACGGCCCGTCTCGCACGTAACCAGTCTCGTACCGCGGGGGTACCACGGACGGAGTCGAGTTACGATGGATGAACTTGCGAGCCTTCGTGGAGAAGGGAGGTCAGTTTCAAAATGGGAGAGGGATGTTGATGGGACGAGTGGTTTGGCGGAGTTGGAATCCAGACCTCCTCCTTGGGTTTCGAGTTCGAGTTCGAATTTCAGAAGGGAGAGGGGAGAGGGGTCGAGGAGTGTTGCTCGAGAGAGGATGGGTAGGCAAGAGGAGGTGGATACTATAAGGACTTACCATTCAACAACCAGGACCACCCGTCGAGTAGCCTACCAACCTGCCACCACGTCAAGAGGTTCAAGGCGACAGAATGACGACTATAACTATAACCCATCCTCATCACCATCACTATCACCATCACCTCCTCCAGCACGTACATCGATCCAAAGATGAGGTTCCACATCGAGAAACACCTAGTGAAATCACTTTGTATCAAGAACAAGTGAACAAGTTGAAGTTGAACAGAGACCCAAGAGGGAAAGAGGATATAAGAACCCGGCTTCTGGTAGAATAGTAGAGTAGAGTAGAGTAGACCAATGATCTAGAAAATCTATTATGTATAGGGGAGTGAAGGATGGAATTAGAAAATAGAATAGACAAGAGAGTCCCGTGGATTATCTCAAGCTGAAAATCAAGGACTTAACGAGCTGTCATGGTAAGGTACAGAGAACATGAATGTCTGCACCAACATAGAAATCTCTAGGCCATGCCCAGGACACTATAAACCCCACACTCCACACAACCCAATCTGAATAAGAGTCTCAGGGGAGACTCTTAACTCTAGGATTATACTAGACTCTAGGATTATACTAGATTGCACACAACCTCACCTCACCTCATCAGCGAAAACAAAGTTCTTCCAAGAACAAACCCACCAAAAACCCCCATCTCAACAAGAAAACCCACACACGAAAAACAACAATACTGCGTAACAATATATCATTGCTACATACAACCCAGACTAGCTGTTAATATATCTCGCCTCGTTCACCCAAGAGGCCCACTATCTAGGCCACCAACTAACTTAAACCTACTTTTCCCACCATCTCATCGCCTTATATAACATCTCATCCAACCATCCATCTAATACAATACAGTAAGTACATCAAACCAACGCCGTCAAATAATGCCGCTGAAGTGAACAAGAAAACGAATAACCTCTCCTCCAGACCAAAGATAAGAAGTGTACATTACAGTACGTATAGTATGCCGTACTATATACAGTACCAACAAAACATCTTTTCCCATGAAAATGAATCCCACCAAAAAGATTCAGAGAAGAAAAAACCAACTCAAGGAAATGCTTCGCGCTGCATAGATCGACCAACCAGAAAATAAAAAAAAGGTAACTACGCGTATTAAGACAAAATAGCGATAGGAAGAAAACGGAACAATCTATTTACAGCGGCATCATTGAGAGTTGGCCAGCCTATTTATTGATGCACAGGATCCCAAACTTGAGGTGGAGGTCTGCCTCTCCCACCCCCAGCACTCAAGGACTCGGGAATACCGCCTAGGGCCTGTTGGGGCGGTGGTGTGTATGGTTTATATCCCGGGTAGGCAGGTTTCTCTACTGGTGGACTTGCAACGCCATACGGGGAGACTGGAGCTCCTCCGCCGCCATAGTTATCTCTGCTGCCTTGATGCTGGGGTGGCGGGGCTTGTTGCTGTTGTTGATCGCCGTATCCAAAGTCAAATCCAGCGTTATTGATGGGTCCTGGACTTATTACTACTGGTCCGCGAGATGGACCACGAGGAGGGGGTGGGTTGTTTTGGTAATTATCGTATGGATGCCCTGGTGTTGGTCCTCTGGACGGACCGCGCGGAGGAGGAGCATTGTTCTGGTAGTCATCATATGATCGCTGTGGTTGCGGTCCTCTAGATGGCCCACGTTGTGGAGGAGTTTGATAATTATCATATGGACCAGGCTGTGGTCCCCTTGATGGAGGAGCCTGATATTCGTCATATGAGTTATCAGAATACTGCCTTACAGGAACCAGCGCACGTGAAGACTCGTTGGAGAATTGTCTTTGTGGCATTGGTCGTTGACCGTTGTTGGGATAGTAACCTTGCGGTTGAGGTCCGCCATTTCCATACGGATCTTGTGGACCATATCCCCTTCCTTGCGCACCCATAGCCATGGGCGTTGGTGGACCGTATCCTGGCCTTTGGCCTTGCATTCCAGGTCCTGGAGATCCCCTGTATCCCATATTATTGAGCCCATCCTGCGGAAGTCCTGGCGACCGATCACCGATTCCCATATATCCATTTCCTCCTATAGCTTGGCCTGGTTGCGAGTTGTATTCATTCGCTGGACCTGGTGACAAATTACGTGCAGGTGAAGCAGTACCTGCCATTAGTGGCACATTTTGACCTGCGGCTGGAGCCAAACTCTTCATTTCCACAGCGCTTTCATCCTCAACATGTTTCTTTGATGCAGAGTCCCAACTTGGCATTGGTGGTAGAGCATCCTCACTAACTCCAGCAGGCTTTGGCTCTGTGTATAGGCCGTTCTTCCCCACCTCGAATTGGGCAAATTTGGGAACGGAGTCCGGAATGGGATCGCGAGAAGTGATGAGACCTCCATTCATCATAGGAGCTGGTGCTTGATATCCCTGGTTTGGCGCATAACCCCCACCAATATTTCTGCTGTGTTCCTCATCCAGATATTTCATCTTCCTATCCTTCTTTCCATCACAGCATCCACCACAGCAACCACAGCAATCGCAGCACTTTAAAAATGAGAAGCAGGTACAGCAGCACGACATGCCGCAACAAAGACAACGAATAGCACACCAAAGAATAGAAAACAGAATCAGACCCCCTACTATTATTATGGCTATAACTGGCCATCTAATAGTGTCAGTAAAGATGAGGCTGGAGCCAAGGACTTTGCCATAACTTACTTGCAATAGCTCGCTTGCATACAATTATCCCAACTGGAAAAGGAATTCTTGACATTGTTTACGTCGTCGGTTATCGCTCTCCTTCCTAGAAAACTGCCAAAGAAATAATCGCCTAGTCCCCTCCGCAAACTCCTCTCCATCGCAGTGGTGATATGAGGCATCGTAAATGCGTGTCGCTGTAACTTTTGTGCCGCAATTGAAATTCCTACAAGTTCGTTCGAAAACTCGTTCCCTGCAAATTCGCAGGGAAAAAGGACGGTGGGTGCGATTTAAACTGTCCCCCTTACTCCATGTCCCCAAGCAACTCAAGAATATTCTGCCTCGTCGGTTGTGTCTTGGAAGCGCTTGCGCCTCGTTCGGCTGTTGATGTCGCGTAGCGAAACAATGGAACAAAGAGGTTGGTTGGTGTGGGTGGTGCTGGTGGTGGTGGTGTTCGTTCAACAATAATACCAGTATCCAAAAGGTTGAAAAGCAAGATCAGATGGAATTCCGTACGAGTCCTGTGTTTCTTCGTGTCGAATGGTGCTCACGGTTTAGTCGGTTGTGAAACGAGTGCAATTGCTGGGGGCCTGGGCAGCTGGGCGGGGTTGTGTAATTTTAGTGACGAGGAGACGGCGATGATCGTGATTTTAGTAGGAATAAAAGGGGCGAAGAAGTGCCGGTCTCGAAGGGCAGGTGAAAGGTACGGAGTACGAAGTAATAGGTGATTGTGCAGGAATTGAAGATATAAAGAGAGTCCAAAGGAGTGTAGTGTAGGTAGGTGTAGGAAATCAATGAGGATGCGATGCGATGAACCAGAGGAATCCGGAGAAGAGTCCTCGTACGTTAGCGTTACAGTATTCAGCAACCATTTATTTTTGGGCCTCGCTTCATTCCGCAAGTAGAGAGCTTTCGGCCCCGTACCGACCGGCAAATCAAACCCAATCAAACTACCCAAGACAAGGTCCTCAACTTCTCACGTGGGAGCTTGAGCCTTCCAGGTAGGTGCCCGTGCCGTGTTCTTTGCAGGTACAGGTGCAGGCTTGTGGCTCATGTTGTGGCGGAGATCCATCCATATGAGCATTCTGAGCCAATCAGTGGGCGTGAACAGGTGAGAGGTGATTCGTAAAGTATTGCATGACAGGTGGTGGCCGAGACCGTAAAAGTGTAAGAGCCCAAGAGGTTGGTGTTGGTTAGAAGTATGTTAGCACTGATTCGTGGGATTTGATAAAGATTCGCATTGGTCGGTCAAAGTGGCAGTAAAACTGTAAAGTTGTACGAGTCTTTTTTCACTTTGCTTTGTAAGTTTAGTTGTGAATTTGCGCCATATGGTAGACTGTTACTGTAGAATAATTGGACTTCCTTGAAATTGCTAGGTAAGAACGGCCCTTCTAATCATCGTGAAATGGTAAAATAACGATAGGTCGTTTAATACAACTTTGAATAGTAGATCTTGACGTAAACAGATATGAAAACTGTCAAGGTACCGAGTATTTGGCCCATGGCCAGCGATTGTATTATCATTTACTGTACATACTATGTCAGAGCCCTCAAGACCCCGATTTCACTAACCTAGCCTCGATAAAAAGCTAGCTCGGTCCTCTGAGAAAGAGTATCTTTCTGATCAGATCGAGATCTCCGCAAGGCCACAATTATCCCCCCATTCCGGAAGCAAACTCCACTATGACCCATAACGAGACACCTGTCAAACGCCTGCGAGTATTACCGCCCAAACCCAGTCGAAATTCATCACACTCCTATTTAAGATACCCCTCCCTCGAACAAACCCCTCATGGTCGAACTTCTCTCTATCGAATAATGACATCTCACTTCTTCGATGGTGGTGGTCCCGCAGGAGGTTCGTAAACCGCATCTCCTCCACGTTGATGTGTATACGCGTTTTGAGGTGTCTGTAACTCAATTCCAGCGCCTTGGTTCCCATAGTATCCCTCATTGCTGTTGAAGGTGGTGCCAGTTGGTTGATGAGATTGAACAGGTGCTGGAGAATAAGGTGGGGCTGGGGGACCTCCATAAGGTTGGTTTGCATAGTATCCTCCGTTTTGTTGACCTGGTCCCTTAGGTCCGCCAGTTGGTATCCACCCTGTACCGTACAATGGAGGCTGATTTCTGCGACGGCGGGTTCTGATGCATCTGTGGGTTTTTGTCAGCAAGAAGGTCCGCGCATAGACATGGGAGGTGACGTACGAGAAGAGAAATGCAAAGATGAGCACTACGACGACGATAATCGCCAAAGCGACCCATCTTCCCCAGTCGTTCCAAGGTGAATCATAGCAATAAACATCGCCATTGATATTTTGTCTGCAGCTATTCAGGATCGCGTTAGCAGACGAATTTAAAGACTTGACAGCAAATACTGCACAGGCTGTCGACTGTCCGAGGGATAAATGTACATACTAATCTCTCTTGGCAAGAGGAGCTTCGGATGAGGTCGTGGGTGCCATGTCGAGTTGTCGCAAAGACCACTGTGACGTATCGTTGCGTTCTGTAGAGGTATGGGGTGTAGAGCAATGTAGCTGTCGAGCTTTACTTTGTAGATGAAAGAACTGACGGCGAGCGATGCAGCGATATTAAAGAGTTCAGGTATTGGGATGCAAGATGGGAGAGTTGAGGGAGGTGGTGTGGATTGAACAAAGCGTCGAGATTGACGTGAGGTAATATGCTCTTGGTGAGCCGGGCTGTGGTGTCAGTGTCAGATGGTGGCGAAGCAACTCTTCCCTAGCGAACTGGCATTGGTAAGGCTTTGCAACTGGCCGAGGAATCCGAGAACCAACGAGAGTGCGCCAATTCTCGTCCTTCGTCATTCACCACGAGTCATATTTTATAGAAGGCTGAAATTAATGTGATGATTGCGCGTACTTGTACTCGTATCTCTCCGCTATCACCGCGCTTCGCTTCGAGAGGCTGGAGAATGTGGAGAAGGCTTGCCAACCACCCATACAACATAATACTTCGAAGTATAAAGTATTTGAGTCCCCAGTGTTGATTTGAATTTTGTTTACGACTTCCCGATGACAAAAAGTGGCAGTCATTATTAACCTGGGTTTCTGGGTCACTCACTTTAATTGGCCAAGAAGGGTTGCGTGACCGTTCAATGATTCCAAGCGATTAGAACAACATTTACAGTTTCTTAAAGATGGTACTTAGAACAACGAGACTTGCTGCTCTACTACTATCTTTCAAAAATACTGAGAGGCGATATTGGCTCGGCTACTTATACAACTCATTCATACTAAAATTAGACATCTGAAAGCAGAGGACTACAAGTACGAAGGTACCTAGGTACTTCCTAGAGTACATCGAGCAAAGGAACGACAAAGTTTGTACCAACTTATCTCTATTTATTTTCAATAAATGAAATGAATAGGCAAGAAGTTCGATATTACCATAGATAGGCACTGTCCTTGCCGGATCATTTCTTTAATAGCGAAATCTCATAACTCGTAATTACAAACCTGAACGTGACACACAAGTTCTCAGTCCAATCCCGCACATACAAGGTCATGTCATCAAACCTACATGGTCATCTGAGATCCATCTTCTACTTTCATGATATCAAGCCTACAAGAGGTTGATTGAATCTAATTTACGAGTGTTTGCCGTGTCCAGCCTATCCCTGACCTTCTGTCATCATTGAAGATTTTGGATTTTCTGTTGTTTCATGGGATCTACTCACCCATGTATCCCCGCCAAACAAATCAGCAACGCGCTTGGACCTTATCCACCATGGGAGCTATTCAAGTATTTGATGTCCACATCTTGTCGGTGGACGAAATTTGTTCTGAAATGATAAGAATTCTATGATGGGCGACAAGTATCCAGATCTGCATGTTGATGACGAGGTTTATGAGGGCGAAACGAACTGATCAGAGGATACGAGAAAGCGAGATGATGGATTTGGCTTGAAGGATCGTAGGGAAGTAGTGTCAAGCTGCGAAAGAAAGATATTCCATATCTATATGCATGTGAGATGATGACTGACGACACTGGTGCCAGCTTCCGCTTCAAAGTGATCATCGAAGATCGTCTACAAATGTAATATTTTCATTGGTTTTCTAATCGTTTTCGGGGAATGTAAAAAAAAAAACGGGTTTAACGAGAATATCGGTTGGAGGCTATCGTGATTTCATTCAGATCATTTAATTTCCTGGAGACTTTAAGAACAATAGAGCGAAACGAACTAACTTGCGGCCAATGTTTAAATGTTTGGTAATTTTAGCGAGAGCATGATACTGAAAGTCGCTTCAACGCGCAGCCTCAAGATCACGCTTTTTGCTGGTTACACAGTAGGTCCCTACCTAAGGCGAGGCGAGTCAAAATTAAGTAAGGGCTAGTCAGATTAAGATTTGGTGTTTCGGGGTTCTACCACCTCGTTAGGCTGAGTGAGAATTCTGCAAACAAAATCCATCAGCGTCCATTTCTTATAACATGCAGCCAGCCAGTGCGTGTGAGGGTACGAGATGTCTCTATCTGATCAACAAGTGGGGAAAGCCCTCACGAATCGACTCAATCGAGCCTTCAAGCGGAAATGGGTGTGCGTTAATTTCCACCGCAGATGGGATTTGGTTGTATGAAGTAACATTCACAGTACTCGTACTTGGTACAACGAAATCGCCATGACACCATCAAACGCTCACATTCGATGCCCGATGCAGCCACCGCGTTTTTGTGTCGAGTGCCGGCATGGCAAATCTCTACTACAGTAGTACTACGAGTACCTACACCAAACGATTTCTGTCACTCCCGTCTCGTTCAACTCGGCTCTCTTTTTTTCCATACTCGTACTCGAGGACGGAGAACTTGTCTTGCCCTTGCCAGATCAGCTCCTTCCTTGTCCTTTTCCGCACTGACGATAGCCGCTACCGCAAAGCCTTCATATGCAGGTATAGGTACGGTTGTCGTTAGAAATGGATCTTTTGCTCCTTCTCCAATTCCTCTCTGCTGGTGGTGATGACTCGCTTAGTACTCCCGCTACGAGGCAGGTGCCACCCAACTATCACCCTTCAAATCCAGTGTACCAAAGCAACTGTGTACAAGTGCGCATTTATTTCCTAGTAAGGCGCATTTCGGTGTCATTCGGGAGCTCATGCGGGGATGCTGTGGTGCAGTCTGCGATCGCGACTCATATACCAAAATACGCATCTGACAGGATTGCCGCTGGGCAGATCATTCTGGGGTTGGCCCAACCCCAGGTCGTTCGTCGCATGTTCTTTCCTTCGAACGATTGCCTCGGATTCTCATTCGTTGATGATCTGTTGCGAGGCGGTCGTCGAGGTCGGTCCAGGACCATCCCTCTTCGTACCTCATTGACACGCCTGCCCTGTGCTAGTATGCCAGTATGCCAGTATGCTAGTATTGCCGACGCTGGCGCATGGTGCATGGCATGGGATGGGAATAGAGGAAAGAGCAGAGGAGTTTAAGTAACTTTCTGTACCCGCCTCCAGCTCTTGACCACCCTCCTCCCGCCCTCCCTCTCGCCCTCTCCCTCGTCCCTCATCTGCACTGCTTCGTTTCTTTGCGACCAGTCCAGTCCCAAGGTCACACGGGTTGTTATCGGGACCAGTTCAGCTGCAGTCTTTCCCTTCGTTTTCTCCTTTTTCTCATACTCGTTGTCTCTGTCTCTTCCGAAGTATTTGAGCTACCTTCCCATAAAGAAAACTCACCCACGTCACAACGATCCACAAAGCAAAATACCATACAACACACTCGCTACCGACGGCCTTGGTCTTAAAAGCTTCGCCGACTAACCTTCTGTTTTTCTCTCGCTCTCTCTCGCCCTGAACTGACTCAATATACGAACTACGAGTCTGCTTTGACCGTCATCCGAGTTATTGTACACTCCTTCGAACTTCACTCATCGTATTTTGCTACCACGATGCGTCTCCTAACTCAAACACGCGCAGCTGTACTCGCGGCTTTCGGTGCTCTCCTAATTCAAAGTGTTCTTTCAATACCCAGTGAGACCCCGCACGAGACACGCTACGGACGTTATGATTATGGACCAGAGGGACATGCCCACCTGAAGCGACAAGCCTCGGATAATGCATTTACGGCGACCACTGGCCTTCCATACACAGGCAGAGGACCGGGGGGTTCTGCTCCGCTGCGATTGGAGGTCAGAGAATTGGAAAAGAATGCAACGATGTGGACATTGTATCTTCTCGGATTGGACTGGATGCAATCTGTTAATCAAGGGGTGAAGTATTCCTATTATCAGTTGATGGGTATGTAAGCCAGTCCATTGAGTGTGCTTTATACTAACATAAGCAGGCATTCATGGAAGACCATTTTCGACATACGACCAAGTCGGCCCTGCTCCAGGAATGGAGAATTCTGGTTATTGCCATCATATCGATATATTGTTCCCAACTTGGCATAGACCTTACAATATTCTTTACGAGGTAAGAGCTGATACTTTGCCCGAGGGTCTGCCAGAAAATCCAGCTGACGGTCATGTAGCAAACATTACAATATTTGATGCTAGTAATCGCAAATATGTACCCCGAGGGATTTGTAAGGGACAGATATGTTGAAGCTGCTCAGAGCTTCCGAATCCCGTATTGGGATTGGGCTGTTGTCCCAGAATCAGGACAAAGCGTTTTCCCTTCGAGTGTTCAACAAACTTCTGTTAGGCTCGATGGTCCAAAAGGTCGTCAAATTATTGACAATCCCCTCTTCACCTACATATTCCAGCCTCTAGATCCAGTGCAACTCCCTAACGAACCCGTAAGTAAGAGAGGCAATGTTAGCCCAGATAGCCACTAAGTTATACGCAGTTCAATAAGTTCCCCATGACCATGAGATATCCAACTACTTCGGATGCGAATGCCGTCTCCCAAAATTCTCTCGTCGCAAGACAACTTGACAACAGCGCACCCTCTTTCCGTAGCAGACTTTATAATCTGCTTACCAATTATCATGATTATGCCACATTTAGCAATACGGCTTGGATTCCAGCAAACGAAAACACAGATTTTGAAAAGTTTGACTCGCTCGAATCGTTACACGACCAAGTACATGGTCTTGTAGGAAGCGGTGGACATATGAGTTATATCGATTACTCTGGATTCGATCCTATATTCATGCTTGTCCACTGCAATATGGATCGTATTTTTGCGATCTGGCAAACGCTTAACCCCGGCGACTATGTCAATCCAGAAACGTCGCTGATGGGCAGCTACACCGTTCCGAAAGGTCAATTAGAAGATACCAATACTCCTCTAAGTCCCTTCCGAATGAGGAACGGCCAAATGTGGAATTCCACCGGTATTCGATATACGACCGATTTTGGATACGCGTACCCAGAGACTGCCAACGGAACCGGTGTAGACATCAGAGCCCAAGCCGTCAGCGCAATCAATAAGCTCTACGGTCCGAACCCGCCAGGCGCTGTTTCTGGAGTCATTGCAAGAGATACGAGCAATGGACTTGAATACAGAGAATGGATCGCCAACATCCGTGTTCTAAAATACGCTCTCGACGGACCATTCTTCATCCACATCTTCCTAGGAAATTTTAGTGCGGATCCGTTCCAGTGGTCCTTCGAACCCAACCTCGTCGGAACCCATTCTATTTTTGTCAAGGATGTGAATAAAAAGGAAGAACCATGCAACTGCAATGCGGATTGGACGACTGGTACAATACCCCTCACAGCTGCACTTAGCAAAGCCGTGGAGGCAAAGAGCTTGAAGTCACTAAATCCCGAGGATGTGGAGCCATATCTGGAGAAGAACTTGCGGTACAAGCTGAGTTACTTGAATGATGAGGAGGTGATGTCGGATGTAAAGAGCTTGAAGATTACTGTTGTGAGTGCGCCTGTGAAGAAGGCGTCTACCGAGACGGAATTACCACAATGGGGAAAGTTCACTGGTAATTTTACGGTGGCGGCGGGATAGAGAAATCATTGCGGCTATCTCTTGAAGGATGATATTTGGGAGAAAAGGGTTTCCCCGTTTTTAGGCAGCTTTGTGGGGAAACTGACTTATGCATGCAGGGCTTTTTTGGAAACTTTTGGAGTTTTTCATCTCTGTTGTGAGATGCTGATTTCCTATCGTTATGGGGTGGAATGAGGAGCTTTGCATTACTTGGAAGGCGTGATTTCCATCCTGGGGCTTTTTCTTTTTTGGATTCATGAGGACAACCCTTGGAGTCGGTGTTCTATTCGCCTTTTTTCTTTCTGCGTTTCATGTATGGGTGCTTGTCCAGAACAGGCATAAATAGTATTTTGCTTTTCGACTCTATTGCGAGGAACCACCACAATCGCATGGCTTTGGGGTCAGCAGGTGGCGCAGTCTGTCTTGATTCTTAGATAGCCTTCTCTGTTTCCCTTTGGCTCTACCAGGCAGGTTTCTATTTTTGGATGCGACGAGATATCATAGATCATGATTAGGTACTATGGGAGAGTAATGAGCTATGACCGAAAAGACTTTTGATGAATATAGTTACGACTACTTTACTCTGAGGTTTAAATGAGACTGATGTCTATGCTTGGTTGTTCATGTGTATCGTAATATGATCGTAATATGATGTAATATGATAGTAATGTTATAGTAATATGATAGTAATATGATAGTAATATGATAGTAATATGATAGTAATATGATAGTAATGTGATAGTGATATGATAGTAATATGATAGTAATATGATAGTAATATGATAGTAATGTGATAGTGATATGATTGTAATTTGATAGTGATATGATAGTAATATGATAGTAATATGATAGTGTTGGTTGGGTTGAGGGATGGATGGATGGACCTTGATATAAGGAGAATTGGGGGCGGCATGTTCCTTGACTTGAGATTGTTAAAATACTGTAATAAAAAGTACTGATATGAGGGATGCAAAATGTTGGCAGGGTCACCTGAGGATTATGTTGGTGTGGCTTCCATGGTTTGATCCGCTTTTTGGGGAAGTTGTCGTCATGAGATAGTTTTGGGGTTCTTGAGGCATGCTCGCTTAAAATATGGGACCGGGGAAAGGGGGGTTGAATGCACCATGTCAATATTGATGCACCTCTCCTGATAGCAGATTCTAGTAAAACAACATATAATGATCCGACTGTCGCTATAATATGCGAGTGAATATACTCGGTGGCACAGACCACCTGACTAGGCTAGTCCTGCCTATATTATAGCGGTACGACTTCTGTACCTTTAACTCGGTATATGTTAATAATAGGAATAGTCTAATACTAAGGTTTAGCCTCTTCTTATATTATACCTTATATTTAATAATAAAGTTAAACTAATACTAATTAGTATTACGCGTATATAGATTAGAGACTTATAATACCTTTAAGACTTTATTTATAAAGCTATTTATACAATAAATAAGCTAAAAGTACTTAATAACTCTACTACTATAAAATACTAGAATACTACTATACTACCTTAACTACCTTCTAAAAATATACTATAGATACTAGAGATAGTAGAGTACTTATATTATCTTTCTAAATAATAGTAGATACTACTACTAGTAATCCGGATAGTTTCCTACCTTAGATAAGTAAAGGAGACTATCTACTAACTAAACGTAGTTTAAGTTAAGTACCTAAACTAAGTGATGAAAATCTTAATAGTAATATAGAAGATAATCTAGATTATCTTAAACTAACTTAAGGAATATAAAGACTTCGGGATATTAAGGAATATATTTAAGGTTAAATTAATGATATTACTTAGATAACTAGAAATCTAAGAACTTAATAAAATAAAGATAAGGTAGTATCTAAATATTTAGATTTTAGTTTTAATAGATGTATTAATCGAGTCTCTTTAATTATAAGTAGTCTACTATACTAACATACTAATAATAGTAATCTAGTTTAGGATAAGACGTCTAGAGAAGAACCTATTTCTAACTAGTTTATAAAAATAGTAATTAACAAATACTAGGATAGTAATAATCTAGTTAGACTAACTTACTACTACCTTTAGGTATTAATCTAAACTCTTAAGTAATTTAAAGCCTTATAAAAATATATTAAGATAGTATAAAGTATAGTAGTATTACTAATATTTTTAATATAAAACTTAGGATCTTTTATACTACTTATAACTAATATAGAGTAACTTAAGACTATCTTATAAAGGCCTTTCTAATTATACTTAAGAGAGCTATATTAGACTATTATTACTATATAATTCTTAGATAAAACTTTGATTTTATAACTATTATATAAGTAGTATAAGATAACTTTAAGAACCCAGGTTATAAGAGATATTTATAAGATGAATAGAATAAATATATACTTAAATATATTAAGAGAGAGAATCTAGATAAAATAATGTTATAATATTTTAATATTATAAAGTATATTAGTATCTAAGTTATATACTTTAAGTAGCGGTTTTAATATAGTAGAGGTTACTAAGTTAATACTAGAGGCTATTCTAGGTAAGATACTTAAATTAATAATTTACATAAATTCTAATTTGATATATAAATACTTAATAAAACTTAGTATAATAAAAGAGAAGCGTCTTATAATTAATATAATAGTATTATACTAGGTAAATAAATAATATAAAATCTATAAGATCCTTTAGATTAAGGGAACTATAAATTCTACTAATATAATAATAAAATTAAAGCTCTATTAAGTACTAGTTATACTTATTAATATAAATAAGATTAAGATTATAGTCGAAGAGTAGGTTAAATATAAGGATATTAGTAAAATATAAAAACATAATTGTCGGTATATAATTCTGGTGAATAGCACCTTGTACGAGAGCCTGGTGGATCTATATGCTTTAGGTCATGTGAGTGGCTTGCCACTCATATACTTAAGCTTGTAGGGTACTGTAACGAATACTCAAACTGGCTAACTAAACTTGGCTGGGTGTTCGCTGGTTGGTATGCTATGATAAGAAGAAGA